CTCACCCTGCCCTAGGTTGGAGTAGACTTTCTGGCCCAATTCATGGCACCTTCTCCTCTGGAGGCAGGTGTGCCTTGAGGTGGGGCAGCGGTGACTCAGGTGGGGACACAAAACACTGGGCTGAGCTGGCTCCAACTTGCAGTGGCCACCATCTAGGCCTGGAATCCCAGGCCAGGGCGGGAGGCTGGTGGCAGGCAGGAAAAGCTGAGTTGCTTAGAGGATGTTGGAGAAATGTCCCAACTGAATCATCATCAGGCTGAATCCCCTGGGAACTTAAAAAATACAGTGTCTGCTCCCCCCCCACCGCCCCACACCCCGCAGAGCTGTCATCTTGGGGTTGCTGGGGTGGGGTCCAGAAAGCTGGGAGCTGGACTGGCAGCTGTGGGCAGCAGCCAAGCTACCCGCCGGCTTCACCCACAGATGCGCAGGTGTCACATGGCAGTGACCACAGACCAGGACCCAGCATCTTCCCTCCACCTGCCCCAGTTCTGCTTTTGGGGCCTTCATAACACAGCTGTTCCCTTGGTCCACACCTGACCCCACACAGGTCACAAGAATGGCTTTCTTCCCTTCTTAAAATCTGGACAAAGCCACCCTGCTGCCCCCCTTTGTCCCCTCCCTCCGGAGTCCATCTGTCACTTTATTAGGTGAAGTTGAGTATATTAGACCCAAAGGCAGGCCCTCGTCCCCTGCTTCATCTTCCTTGCTGGTGTCTGTCCTGTTCTCGGTGGCTAAAAGGGACTCTTGGACCAATGATCCCGTGTCATGGGGTGACCAACCATTCAGCTTCTCTGGAACTGAGGGGTTCCCAGGCTGGAGCCTTCCTGTGCTCAATCCAGGAAAGTCACTGGCAAACCCCAGGGCAAGTGGCCAGCCTCGCCCTCATTGGCTGTGCGCCCCTTCTGCTGGTCTTTCTGTCCCCACATCTTGGCAAGCATGTGGAGCACAGTCTCCCCCGCTCCCCTTCCAGCATGTCCACAGGAAAAGACCTCATGCCCCAGCACCATAGGTTCGGGTCTTGGGCAAATCCCTTCCCACCTCTGCATGTAGCCTGGCAGTCATGCACTTGAGAATGGGACCCTGCCCAGGGGGTGCCGAGCCCCCGCCCCGGAGGCACACCTTTCCAGGACACCCTCTGGCCCTGCAGCCTCCCTCACTTTCCATTTCTGGGCTGCGACTCATGGGTGAGCCAAACACGTCCAGAGGCGGCCTCTGGCATTTTTTTTTTTTTTTGAGAGCCAGCCCGGCAAGTGTCCCACCTCCCTCCCGAAACGGCCATTCCACACTGGCTGGTTCCCAGAATGTGTGTGGAATGCCCATGAAGACCCAGGCCGGCCCAGGGGGCAGTGGGAGTCGGTGGGCCCGCAGACCGCTGGCCTCCAGAGCTCACGCCTAGTGGGAAGGGCGTGAACAAGTCATGTCCGTTGCAACAGGTCCTGTGGGGGAAAGGAGCTGGGGAGCGAGTGTGAGGGTGGGAGGAGATGGAGATCTGGAAGCACCTTCTACATGGGAGGAAAGGAGAATCCAAGCCCCAGTGGCACACGCGAGGTGTGTTTAGGGGCGAGGGCAGTGTGGCTGGAGCCATGCAAGGGGACCAGAGCAGGCCGGGGCGCCTGCAACACTGGGAGGTGTTGCTTCCCTTCTGCACACAGCTGAGAACCTCCAGAAGATTCTAAGCAGGAGAGCAACAGGACACTTACGTGGCTGCTGTTTGCAGGAGGGATCTCAGGGGCAAGAACACTGAGAGGTCCGTGAGGAGGTTGTTGCCACGTCAGGGCAGTGGCTTTAGTGATGGAGAGACCCAGACAGATGTGGGTGCCTTCTGGAGCCAAGCGACCAGGATCCACCCCAGTTGTTTCTGAAGTGAGGGGGGATGGGGAGGGTGGGGGTAAGCCCTTGGTTTCGGCCTGAGCACCTGGGCCAATGGCAAAGGGAGGGAGGGGCAGATCTGAGCGGGCAGTTTGAGACTGTGTCCCATTCGATTACTGTTGGACGCTGAAGAGATGTGAAGGAGGGGGCTCGGGGCTTGAGACAGAGAACTGTCACCAGCATACAGGGTGTCTAGAGCCCAGCGATTGCCCAGCAGGGAGGGAGGGAGTTGGAGAGGACCAAGTCCTAGCCCTCCAGCCTTACCAAGTAGTGCCAGGAGGCCGAGTGGCCAGGACGTGGGAGGAAAACCAGATACGTGGCATCCTGGCAGCCTTGGCAGGAGTCTGAGGAGAGCAGAGCTGCTTGCGGCCTCCCTGCCTTCCTCAGCCCTTGCAGACCTAGCTCACCCAGGAACTGGGGGTGACTAGAAGTCCCTTGTCTCTGAGCGCTTCCTGACCACTTGTGCCTCGGGTTAGGAACCAGGTCAGGGCCAGTCACCTGTCACCTGTAGTGTCACCTCTGATGGCCTCTCCTGGTGCCAAAGAGCAGCACATGGCACAGCCACAACCCCTGAGCCACACCCCTGTTGTCCAGTGCCCAGTGCATGATGATGACACCCCTGCCCCTCTTCCCCATTCTCCCCCAGGAGCTTCTCTTCTGCGTCGGCACTTGCCTCCTGGTTAACTGCCTAGCGTGCATCATGTTTTCTAATGAGTTTTTCGGTTTATTTTGGTTTATTTTCTCTTCTTTTCCAGTTTAGAATGAGCCCCACTTTACAAATAAGAAAACTCAAGGTTTAGTTGGCTGACCCCGTGGGTCCTGGCAGGCCTGGGTCTCATCCTGTACATGGCCCTTGGCCCTCTATCCCAACTGCTATAGCTCCAGCCCTGAGGAATCTGCCCTTCTCTCAGAGGCTCCAGGGGTTCCAAGGAGGGTCTTCTCTCCACCTCTTGGGCTTGGGCTCGGGCTCAGGAAAGAGCGTCCTGGGTGTCCAGATGGCCAGGGCCAGAAGTGCAAGGATGGCCCACAGCACAGCCCCCTTCCCCCTCCCTGTCTCCCTCCCCGAGGCCCTGGTTCCTTTCTAAATGGATTAGGGCCTTTGCCGGAAGGAGCGGCGGCCGTCTGGGATGGCCGGGAGGCCAGGGCCCAAGCGCGTCTGGTGCCTCCTGCTTCGCCCTGATTTGATTTGGACTCCAGCAGCTGGGAGGCTGGCTGCCCAAGACCGTTCTGGGAATGGCTCAAGGGACTGGTGGGCAGGGGGTGGTGGATGGGCAACCCCCTTGGCTGGGTCTTCTGTGGAGCTAGTCACAGGGCAGACCCTTGAGTGGGCTTCATGCCACAGAAGGCTGTGGCCGTGGCCGCCGGCTGCCCCATGGCCTGCCATGCCCTCAGCTTCCCTTAATGCTGCAGATTTCAGACGTCTATAAAAATGCAACCTGGGGGGAGGAAATACATTTTATAAATATCTAGAATTAAACCCAGTGCACATTTCAGCCGACTGCTGACTAGCCTTTTGTTAAAATCAATGTTTATCCACAACCAAAGAGCAGGCTTGGCCAGGACGAAGGCCAAGCCATGCTCCGGTGCATCCCTCATGCCTTTGAACATTTTCATGACTGGAGCGGACACTTCTCCCCTTGTTAGGTGTGACACTTTCTGTCTTGTCACTTTTACCACCCCAGAAGGCCACGGTCTGTGGCTTGGACCACCCTGCCTTGGTCCATCCTCCAGAACCTCAGACCCTGAGCTGGGTCCCGGTTGTGTAGCTATGCCAGGCACACCGGCCCCCACCCTCACTGAGCTCTGGTTGAGGGGCCGCTGCAGTGGCAGAAGTCACTCTGGCCTTGGCTCACTTTAAAAAAGCACCGAGCCGGACTGTCGGTCTGCCCAGTGCCCCGCACCCCTTCAAAGGAGTGCACACTCCTTCACCCCATCTGCAGAGGTTATAGGGGTAGGGTTCACGGGCTCCCTCCGATGCCTGCAGCTCTGCCCGCTGCTCATCCCCCTAAACTGGTCTCACTGTGGGCACCGGCCTGGGGCCCAGGCCTAGGGCGCTAAAGGGACTGAGCCCAGGAAGGACACCGAGGGCCCCCACCTGTCACCGCTGTCCTCTCCTTTGCTTGGGCGGGTGAGCCTCCTCCAAGGGAGGTCCTGGCTTGGGGAAGCAGCTTGCAAGTGGGCCCCCTGACTTGATTCCTGGGGCCAGAAGAGGAGGTGGGGGATGGGAGGGAGCTGAAGGAGACTGATCTTTGCATCTAGCAAGGGCCTTGGTGGGCTGGCTGGTGCAGGGGCAGCAGGCCTGTTTCCTGCCTGGGGAAACCCTGGCATGAGGGGCCCTGACAAGGGGGAGGATGTAGCCCTGTCCTCCAGGAGCACCATGAGATAAAGTCCTGTCTTGGGAGAAATCCTTGTCTCTGCCCCTTAGTATCTTTCTGCACCCCTGAGATTGAGTCCAGGAGATAGTCTGAGCTTCAGAGACCTCAGGGTGGTGGCCTTGCCCAGGGAGCTCATGGCCTGATACAGCATTGTATGGAGGGACTTGGGGAAAGGTGGGAGGCCTGGGCGGGAAGGGGCACCTTCCCAGCAGAGGCGACAATTAAAGCTGAATGGACAGTCGGTAGGTGCTGAAGGCTCCTTGAAGGGCACTCAGGTCGAGGAGGATTAGACCTGTGGAAATTGGGTGATGTTGTTACTTTTGGGGTTCATGACACCTGGAGTGTTAAGGGAAGTTGGGGCAAAGGACAGAAATCTAGACAGGGACCTTGAAGACCAAGCTGAGGAATCAAGAGCTGATGAGGGTAAGAGGAAGCTACAGAGGGTGTGAGCAAGAGAGAGCCATGACCGGAGCTGCCTGTATGAGAAGAATTGGTTGGGGTACCAGGCAGACTTGGGGGCATGCCATGGAGCACATCCCTCAGTTATCTTGCGTCTGTGCCCACACCTGTACGGGCCATCGTAGACTTTGCATTCAGATGCTTTAAAGCTTTAATTCCATCATTCACATTAGACCCATTGGTGAAGGCAGGCCAGTGCCTGACTTGTCCCGCCTGGAAGTAGAGTCCAGGGTCCAGGTGTGCCAGGCCTGTGGTGCACGCTAGCAGCGCATGCCCAGACCCGCCGCCTCCTTCCAGGTGACCATGGCCTTGCTGGGGAAGCGCTGTGACGTCCCTGCCAATGGCTGCGGACCTGACCGCTGGAACTCCGCCTTCGCCCGCAAGGACGAGATCATCACCAGCCTCGTGTCTGCCTTAGATTCCATGGTGAGTGCCCCCACCTGCTGGGAGGGGGAGCGGGCCTGGCCTTTGCAGCCAGATATGGGAACTCCAGTCCCACAGCCTGGGTGTCCGTGTCCCCATCTACAACAATGGCTGCAGGTTTAAATGAGATCAAGTGTATAAAAACCCAACCTGGGACTAGATGCTGCCTCATCTCCTCACCCCCTATCCTTGCTTTGTCACCTCTTGCCATTCAAGACCTGTTCCTGGGATGGTCACAAGTCTCCCTCCCAGCAGGTTACCTGGTAGATAATATGTGGACAGCGATTCCTTACAAAGCTGTCACCCCAATGTTAAAGCAAGAACTGTGACTGCATCTGGGGGCTGGGAGAGAGAAACGGCCCCTCAATTGCCCCTGTTTCTTTTGCCTGCATACCTGAACCTATGGCAGTTTACCCCAAATGAGAAAATACTGTCATTTTCAGGGGAGAAATTTCTGTCATAGAAGGTAGGCAGGTATTAAAAAATCTGTCTGGTGTCAGTTAGCTGTACCCCCTCCCCATTTTAGGATAGTAAACTTGAAGTTCAGAGAGAGCAGGGGCTTGCCTAAAGTCACACAGCATGACCAGTTTTTAAAGTGGATTCCTGGGTGCAGAGTCTATAATTCCCCAGGGACAAAGGACTTCCTTCTAGACTGTTCTTGCCGGAAGCAGAACAGAGGCTGTTTGGGTGGTGTTTGGCCCTGAGGTGGGAGGCACCTGGGGAAGCTGGCTGGTGCAGTCCCTTCCCTGTGCAGAGTGAGCTCCCTGGAGAGGACCCAGCCTGTGTCCTGCACAGTGCTAGCTTATTGTGGTGGAGGCTAACTGACAGTGACTGCAACCCCAAAGCCACAGCCATGTGTGCTACTTAAATTGTGACAAGTCAAAATTAAGCAAAATAGTAGAGTTGCTCAGTGGCACTCAGTAGCCAGATGTGGCTAGTTGCCACATGACAGGGCAGTGTAGCAAGTTGTTTTGGACAGCACTGGTCTAGTGGGGTCCTCAGGGCTTCCTGGGGGAGCCGATGACCCTGTAGCAATCCTGATGCATGTACAAAACAGGCTCCCCTGTGCCTGGGACCCTTTAAGGGTTTCCTGAGTGACCCTCATGGGTGACAGTGTCACTTCTTGGGGTGAGTGGCGACTTAGTTCTGGCATCTTCCAGGACCCAGGGCCAGGGCTTTAGGCAATCTATAAGGGGCGTTGGGCTAAAGTGTGTCCATTCATAACCCCCAACCCCAAGTCTCAGCCCCTTTCCCAGCATTTCCTCATGGCCCTCATTCTCTGTGCCTTTGGGTAAGCTTATCCCCACCGTGGCCTCAGCTCCTTCATTTGAGAAGTGACCACACAATGAAGGATTTCCTGCAGCTCTAGTAGCCACTCCTATGTTGGAAGCAATTGAATTCATCTGTTACTTTTGTTTGTGACTGTTCAGCATTATTGCCAGGAAAGGAGAGAGCAGGGTTTTGTTGTAATCTTGGAGAAGAGGAAATGAACACTCCCCCTGCCCCACCCCCACCACAACAGGAGGCCCAGGGTCCTCACCAGAACAACTCCGACTGGAGCTGGCTTAGAGGCATGATTATGGCCCAGAGAGTCTGAGGATCCTGAACTAGGTCACACAGCAGCAGAGCCGTGGTTCGAAAGCAGCCTCCCCAACTATCAGAGCGCTACCTAACTCAGATAAAACCAGCATTTGTCCGGCACTGGCACTGACTAGAAGCCGCAAGTGTTGCAGACAGGTTTTCCTGGTGATGTAGGTCAGAGGCTGTGATCCTGGTGGTCTTGGTTGCAGACCCCCTGCGCTCAGGTCTTTGTACTGGGCCTGCCAGCCTCTCCTTGGGGCTGTGAAACCTCTCTGCTGTACCCCTGTTGGGAAGTCCCGGGTTAGAGCTGCTTTCCCTCCAACAGTCCCATTGAATCTCCACAGCCAAGCCCGTTGCAACCCTGGGAGCAGGGCTGCTTGTCCTGGTTCTACACATTTGGAGACTGAGGCCCGGAGAGGGCATGACTTGCCCCGTTCCTGCAGCAGGCAGTGGCTGGTGTGGGGCTGCAGCCTGGATGTGGCCGAGCCTTGGTTCTCCTGAGGCTCACCCCACCTCCTCCAAGTCCAGCACTTGTCCGTGACTTGGAGAGCACCCTGGGGTTGGTCCTGGGCCTAAGACAGGAAGTCCACCCAAAGCAGGGAGGACATGGGAGGGGATCATGTACCTGTGCTTCCTCCAACCCCCATGACCTTATCTTCTCCCCCCACCTTGACCAAACTTGTTGGGGCTGGGGGGTCATTCGTTCCCACGGAAGATTCTGAGACTGAGCACATTGAGGGGTGACCTCCCCTGGAGCTGCTGGCAGAGCTCGGACACCAGGAGCTCACACTCAACCCCAGAACTGGCACTGGCAGTGTCCCAGAGTGTGCTGGGGAGGGGGCTTCCCCTGACTCACACACCCTGCTCCCCACACAGTGCTCAGCGCTGTCCAAGCTGAACGCAGAAGTGGCCTGTGTTGCTGTGCATGATGAGAGCGCCTTTGTGGTGGGCACAGAGAAGGGGAGAATGTTCCTGAATGCACGGAAGGAGCTGCAATCAGACTTCCTCAGGTTCTGCCGTGAGTACCTGGGGCTCTGGGGCAGGGTCCCAAAGTCCCCGAGGGCAGGAACTGGGGCCTGTCTCTGGGTCCTTTGAACAACACTGGGTGGCCCCGCATTGTACTGGACAGAGGAGGTTGTGCAAACTTCCTAGCATGGCATTATCAGGGTCGGCTGCAGTTTTGTGGGAATCAGTCAGCAGCCCCTCAGTCTACAGAGACTGAGTCCAGACCCCTCCACCCCACCTGCTCATAGATATCAGGGGACATTGGGGTCCAGTTGTAGCCCAGTTCCTGTGTGTCCCTGATAAAGAACCCAGTATATCTGTTTAACAAATATGTGTTGAGTGCCCGCTGTGTGCCACACGCCATTTCCAACGCCAAATACTGTCCTGATGGCAACCTAGGAGGCAGCACATGGACGTGGCTGAGGACATATCCTCACATAAGAAATACTCGATAAACACAGTGTTAACGATGCTGTGGCCGGGCATGTGCTGATGCTGTTTACCTTCCCAGCAACCTCGTGAAATAGCTCCCATGGGTTATAATTGGGAAACTGAGGCACTGTAAGCACAAGTCACTTTCTCAGGGACACACAAGTGATGAGGCTGACAAGTCAGGTGGAGGCGGGTTTGAGGCCAGGTCTCTGGTTCTGAGATCCATGCTCTTTCTGCTCTACCCTTTCAAAACCAGGGAGGTGCAGCATGCTCCCCACCCCCTCTGCCGGAGGCCTGCCGGCGAGTCCTGGTCACTCTCAGAAGAGACCAACCATGGTACCCTGAGGCAGAAAGGTCATTCAAAAGTCCCCACGTCATGGTTGCTACATGGGGTTACCTGAACTCTGGGGCCCCTCCTGACCCCGCTGACCTCTGCATTCTCTCCTCCCGGCGTCCCTTGCACTCACCCCAGGCTGCACAGTGCTGAAGTGCCAGCCCCGTGTGTCTCTTCTCGCTCCGCCTTCCTTGTTCCCTATCTGGAAGGTCCTTCCTTCTCTCTTTGGCCTGGTAGATGCCTTCCTGGTCTCCAGATTCCCAGTCCTGCCACCCCAGGCCCCACACTGCCCCTCCACCTAGACCTGTGCTGTGGTCACCCACCATGTTGAGCCAGCTTCCGGGGCTCTAAATTTCCATCTGCCACCTAGTGCCCCCGCTGGCAGTGAGCTGCTGAGGAAGGTGGGCTTCACCTTTCTGGGGATGAGTTCCTCCAGGGTCAGGGCCAGCCCTCCTCTCAGTTCCAGCCCATGACCTGCGACTCTGGGGGTTAAAATCACAGGCCTTGGAGTCAGAGGCCTGGGGCCACATCCTGGCTCTGCCACCTGCCACATCTTGGGCCTCACCTCCTTGCCTGTGGAAGGGGAGGTTCTGAGGATTAAAGGGATTAATACTTAGAACCATGCCGGTGCTTGTTTCACACGCAGTGAATGCAGATGCTGTGGTCATTACCATTGTTAGCACTTGCCCTGTAGCCCGGCCTGACCTTACCACTAGCCATTTCAAGGAAGGTTGTCCCAGGCCCTGCACTTGTCAATCCTGGGGTCCAGCTGCTTCCCCAACCAGCCTGTCTTCTACTCACTCCTCAGAGCCTGTGTCCTTTCCAAGGTCAGGGGGGGCAGGTGGGGCTGAGCTCCAGGGTCAAGTGGACAGTGCACGGTCCTGTGGCCTCCAGTTGGCAAGGCAGGGGGGTCAACAGGCTGGGGTCTCGGGGGGTCTGGGGAAGGTGCACCTGGCCTTTTGGAGCCAGGCAGAGCCACTATTTATAGCACCGGGAACTCGGCTGGTTTATTTCAAGCTTCACAGATTCCCAGAGGAAAGCATGATCCAAGCTAGGAGGTGGCCTCCCAACCCATCTCTCGGCCCCTTTTCAATGCAGTTTCTAGCATGTTCCCCAAGAACCTGCCGACTGCTCCCCTCCCTGTGGCCTTGCCCTGGCCAGCCTAGCATGACCTTGCCTCCTTGCAGCCCCTTAGCCTTCTGCTGGAGTCCCTGTCATCTCCTCATTTTGCACAGCATAAACTAGCAACTTGGTTTATTAAGACAGCTTTCGTGTCAGAACACAGAAAGGGGTGGATGGAATGGACATTTGTTGAGTCCCGATCCTGAGCCAGGCTGGCTGGCCTCCCGTGAGAGCTCACAGACTAAGGCTCAGAGAGGGAAGGAACTTGCCCAAGGTCACATAGCAAGGTAGAGGTGACCAGGGTTGAGACCCACACCCTATCCTGGGCACTGAGAACTCTGAGATGCCCTGCACCAGCCCTGGGCAGATTGTTTGGGGTGAGGCTTGCTTACTTATTAATTATTGATTCATTCATTGGCCCTCCTCGGGGCCCAGTACAGGGCAAGGACATGCCCGCTTTGAGGGGCAGGTGACATGACAGGTGCTCACCATGGCCCCACCTACTCTGTGTCCCACAGGAGGGCCCCCGTGGAAGGAGCCGGAGGCAGAGCACCCCAAGAAGGTGCTGCGGGGTGAGGGTGGCGGCCGGAACATCCCGCGATCTTCCCTGGAACATGGCTCGGATGTGTACCTTCTACGGAAGATGGTAGAGGAGGTGTTTGATGTTCTTTATAGTAAGATCCTTCCTCATTCCATTTGGGGCCCCCAGGTGGGTGGGAGCCCCAGCCCCACCAGATGGGGAGGCCCCCACCTCTTGCCCCATTACAGGCCCTGGGCAAAAACTTCATGACATAGGGCATTGCTCCCCCAGTCACCCCCATCCTGCATCCCAGGAGTGGGTCTTCCAGCCCTGTTTCCAGAGCCACTGTCCCACTGCCCTGATCAGGTCACTGCCACCTCTTGCCTAGAAATGACCCTACGGTCTCCCTGGTCTCCTGCTTCTAGGCCGGGTGCCCTCTGCTGCCCCTACTTGCACTGTGACCAAGGTCATCTTCCCAAAGCAGAGTCTGACTGTGACGCTTTTCCCTCCAAGGCCTTAGGGGACCCCTGTCACTCTAAGTGTGCCTCAGGCTCTCCACATAGTCCCTCCCCAATTGTGCTGACCCATCTCACTTCCTGCCCTCCAGCATGAAATGGCTTCATTTCACATTTTCTCCCCTTCGCCCTACTATGCCTTTTGGGATTGCTTTCTCCTCTGTCTGGAGGATTCCACATTATTCTGTAAGGCCCGGCCCCAGGAATCCTTTCCCCAATTTGGGTTAGGATCATGCCGGGCACTACCCCACAGTCCCCTCACTGACCCAGATGTTCTCTAGGATCAAGGGACTGAGTCTGCCCTCTTTGCTCTCCCCAGCCTGCAGTTCACTCCTCAGCAAAACCAGGTGCTTAGAAAGGGTGTTTGATGAATGACTGAGTGAGGCTAACTGGTGGACTACGTCCTTTCTGCCGGGGCAATGAGGAAGAGTCCTGGCCTCCCTTGGGAAGCGTTAGGTTGCAGGTCTCGTGGTCCATCCAGTGGTGACTTTCACACTCTCTAGGTGACCTTGGGCAAGCCCCTTTGGTCCCTAAGGGTCCTACCTCATTATTTCTGACTTGCTTTATTCCTTTCCCTGGAGCTTTTGGTTCTGTGGAGCAGAGGTCTTTGAGGGAACTCCTGTTGTTGTCTGGATGGCTGGAGAAGCTGACTGGGGTTTAGGGGACCCCGTGGCCCTGGGAGGGCTCGCTGGCCAACCTGGCAGGGGCGCTTGGCTGTGTCACTGTAGACACTTCTGCCAGTTACTGGATTTGGACACAGAACCCCAGCCCCCCCACCCCTCTCACCCACCTGAGGCAAAAATCAAAGGTTTTGCCTTTGAGGAGCCTCTTTCTGCTTCTGAGTGGGAAGGACAACAAAAGCTCCTGACCCTAGGCCCCCCACCATCTCTCAGATAGCCCCCCCTCCCCCCCTCCCTCATTCTTACCATCTTCTCAATCTCTGGTCTCGTCCCTCCTCCCTATGGCTTTGTCCCTGCAGTCTCTCTCCTGGCCTCCTTTCTCCCCTTACCCCTTCCTCTTCTCACTTCCTACCCACAACCCCAGGCCCCGCTTTCCCCTACACGCCCTGCCAGGAGTGGAGAAGAGAATGGCCGGGGAGGCAGGATACCCTCTTGATGGGAGAGTCCAGGCCCAAGAGTGCAGACAATGGGGTCTTGTTGCAATCCCCACCCTCCCACCCCCAACCTGTAAGGGGTTACTCAGTATGAAGTTTGCAGTTTAGGGGCCTGGGGGGCCCAGTTTCCTGGGAACTCAGCACCAAGGGGAGTCCCTCAACATGGCCCCGACTGTGGGGCACACCCGGCCCCCTCCCCTGCCTGGCTGCCCTCTCATACTAGACCCTCTCCTTGGCCTCCTCCCTCCACAGGCGAGGCCCTGGGAAGGGCCAGTGTGGTGCCACTGCCCTACGAGAGGCTGCTCAGAGAGCCAGGGCTGCTGGCTGTGCAGGGGCTGCCTGAAGGCCTGGCCTTCCGGAGGCCTGCTGAGTATGACCCCAAGGCCCTCATGGCCATCCTGGAGCACAGCCATCGTATCCGCTTCAAGCTCAAGAGGTGAGTAAGGCTGGCAGTCGAGGATTGGGCCAGGGCAAGCAGGAGGGCCATTTGCTTCCATGGTGGCTCAGCCACCTATTGCCTAGAGGTGAGGAAGCTTCACAGGGAGACCCAGGTTTTAAAACCTCCCAGTCTGACGGTGGAGGTGAGACAAAACCCAGTCATAGAGCATGATCTGCGGGAGGCCATTCAGTCATGGAAGTCTTTCCAGGGGCTTCTGTGTCGCAGAAAGACCAGAAGAGCCTTGGTTGAGCAAACAGCACTTGAGGTGTCAGGAATGGCCCTGCAAAAGGGTGGAGGTGGAGAATCACCTGTGTGTACTTGTTGGGTTGTGAATCAAGGGTCACTGGGGGAAATGAGGAACTGGTGGGAAATGCAGTCGTGGAAGCTGGGCTGGGCAGGTCCTGACTGCTGGGGCCTCCAGGAGCGAGACTGAGGGCTTCGTGTTGCCCTTCAGTGCTCAGGCCCCTCTGGCAGCAAGCAGGCCCAGAAGAGGAGGTCCCTCCAGGCGGTTGGGTTTTGTGGGGGAGGGTGAGGAGGGGTGGAGGAAGAGGTGTGACCTGCAGGACAGGTGTGTGAACCGTCCATGTCCTCCTTTTTCCAGGCCTCTCGAGGATGGCGGGCGGGACTCAAAGGCCCTAGTGGAGCTGAATGGTGTCTCCCTGATAGCCAAGGGCTCTCGGGACTGTGGCTTACACAGCCAGGCCCCCAAGGGCCCAGCCCAAGACCTGCCGCCCACTGCCACATCCTCCATGGCCAGCTTCCTGTACAGCACCGCACTCCCCAATCACACCGTGAGAGAGCTCAAGCAGGAGGCGCCCGCCTGTCCACTTGCTCCCAGCGACCTAGGCCTAGGCCGTGCTGGGCCTGAGCCCAAGGCCTCTGGTGCCCAAGACTTCCCCGACTGCTGTGGTAAGCTGCTGCTGACCCCCAAGGGTAGTGAAGGGACTGGTCACCCGTGGCAGGGCACCATCCCAGGGCAGGTGGGGGATCCTCAGGCCTTCCCTGGGTTGAAGGAAGCAAGTGGGGACAGGGTGAAGGAGGGCAGAAAGATGATGTCCTGGCTTGTACATAGTCAAGTTCTGAGCCTCCATTCTGCAGTCTGAGCCCTGTCTTTTGCCTGGGACAGGGAGAAACCAGAAGGGACTCCCAGAGAATCTGTGACGTCTGTGAAGGGAGTAAACATGTTAACTTTTCCACTGAGCACCTGCTGCAGCCCAGCCTGGATTAGGGGTACTAGAGGCATAAAAGAGCAAACAGTATGAGAAAGACCTGGGTTCATATCCTACTTCTCTACTTAGTGGCTGTGTATTTGGAGCTTGTTTCTAAGCCTGTTTCCTCATGCTTAGAGACAGTGGTTCCCTACCTTTCCGGCCTGTTAATGAAGATTAAATTATAGAGAATATTAGAAATGCATGTTTCCAGGACCTGCTGCATCTGAAGCTTTGGGGCTGAGGCCCATCATGCTGCATGTTGACAAATCCACCAAGCTTCATTTGTACTCAAGGTTGAAAATTGCTGTATATAGAGCACCAGGTCCAATGCCTGGCACATAGTAGGTGCTTTTAAGCACCTAAGTAGGTGCTTTTTATTATGAGGAGAAAAAAGTACTGCCCTTCACAGATATGTGGGCTCAGAGGGGGTGGGACTTATACACCTAAAGCAAGTGTCCTCAGTTGTGAAAGGTGACCTCTGACATCCTGCTTTCCTTGATCTGCTACTGGGGAAGCAGACACCGCTAGAGAATGTCTCAGGCTTCGGGCAGAAAATCTGCTGAGTTCATGATCGCAGGGCTCAGTTCTGGTGTCTCCCTAGTAGGGAAGACTGGACCAGAACTAGGGACCCCCTCTTAGGAGCCCCCCTTGAACCTTAATCTCTCTTCTCCCTTGTCCAGGACAGAAGCCCACCGGACCTGGTGGGCCTCTCATTCAGAACGTCCATGCCTCTAAGCGCATTCTCTTCTCTATCGTCCATGACAAGTCAGGTAGGTCAGCGCCCACAGTGGCACCTATCCAAGTGGGGACCGGGGCTAGAGGTGGTGCTCACTGAAAAGGAAATGTTTGTACTGGGTCTTGGTGAGAGAGAAGAACAGTTCTGCTCAGGAGACTTGTGAGTAAAACCAGAGTGTAACAGCTGTGTTTTGCTGTGTAACTTATTGCCCCTAGCTTAGCTTATACCATGAAGCATTTATACCTCACAGTTTCTGTGGGCCAGGATTCAGGAGCAGCTTAGCTACATGTTTCTGGCTCAGGCTCGCTCATGAGGTTGTAATCAAATGTCAGCTGGGTATGGTCACTTGAAGGCGTGACTGGGACTGGAGGATCCACTTCCAAGCAACTCTGGCTGTTGGCAGGAGATCTGCTTCTCATCACATGGACCTCTACAGGGCTGCTTGAGTGTCCTCACAATATGGTGTCTGGTTTCCCACAGTTAGTGATGCAAGAGCGAGTGAGGAGGAAGCCACATGTCTTCTAGGCCCTTCTCTCAGAAATCACCATTGCTTCTGCTCATTAGAAGTGAGAAACTTGATCCAGCCCAAAATCCAAGCGAGAAAGAGGAATTGAACTCACCTCATGAAGGAAGAAGTATCAAGAAACTGTGGGCACATTTTAAAAGTACCACATAGAGTACTGAAAGCAGAAAAATTTGGAATTCACTTATTCCAGAAAGGAATGAAGTAGACTTTGTAGCAGCTCTGCTGGTGGAGGTCTGTCTCATCTTCAGTGACAGGATCTCTGAAAACCCAGTCTCCTGGGATCAGCATGGAGATACCCCACCTGCTCAAACAAGGTCCATCCTTGGCGGGAACAGGACCTTTGTGGATCTCCAGATGGAACAACATTGTGCAATACCATGAGAGCAGGGGCTGGAACACAATCTCAGGGGTGGCAACTGGGTGGCGTGGCAAGATGCTCCGCCTCACTGAGCTTCGGTTTTCCCATTTACAAAATGGAAATAATAACTATATTTAAGACAGTTATAAAACAGAGACATACTGCAGGGAAGGAGGAGGGAGAGGGATGAGAGGGAAGGAGGGAGGAGCACAGGGGACTGTGGTGATGGTGCACGGGTGCCTTGGGGAAGGAAATTCTATGGGGACTCAATCTGAGGGGGTGGGGGGAAGCAAATATTGTCTAAAAAATTTAAAAAATGATAAATGTTAATATAAAAAAAAGGAAAAAAATAACTGTTTAAAAGTTATTGTGAGAGATGAAACAGGATATTATAGATATAAAGTATGTAAACACAACAAATTACAGGTGTTACTTTTATAATCATAATGAACCAGTGGATCATCTTGTTACTGATAGTGAATTAAGGCAGAAACTTTGGTTTTATGGAAGAGGCCAGCAGGACTGAGGGTTTGGGGGAAGCTGACAGGGCCAAGGCTGGGTGGGTTTCCAGATGTAAGAGGCGTGAGGGCTGTCTTCAAGGTCAAGGCCTTATCTTCCTCAGGGGAGGATGGTCTGCAGGGTGCACAGGCTGAGGTCTGCACAGTATCCACCGCCCGCGGTGGAGGGCAGAGGTGAGAAATCAGGGCGGTGGGGGCTCCATCACAGTACCCTCGATTTCTGTAGTGCTGCTTCCTGGTGAGGCCTGGGACATCAGGGTTAAAGGTGGGAACAGGTGGAAGGGCTGGTCTGGTCTCTGGAGGAAGCCAGGTGCTCCTGGGGAGGGAGCTTGGCTGTCTCTGGGGCAAGGCCCCAGCGGAGAGGGCCCACAGGGCAGCAGGGAGCCGGGGCCTCCTCATGAGGCAGCCAGGACGTGGGGTCCCTGCTCCAACTGGCCCTCACTTGTACCTCCTGTGTTTTGATAGAGAAGTGGGACGCCTTCATAAAGGAAACCGAGGACATCAACACGCTCCGGGAGTGCGTGCAGATCCTGTTTAACAGCAGATATGGTGAGTGGGCGGCGGCGCCCGCCGTGTGGCCCCACAGCGTGTTGAGCATCTCATTACGTGGCAATCACTTGTGTTCCCTAACATGACAGCGGGAGCCATATGTTGGCACCCGCGCGCCGTCAATGCTAATGTCATCTCCTGTCTGGGTAGGGGGTGGTTATGTCAATATTTCCCTTCCAGATTCTCTGGGCGGCGGGCTGATGGCAGAGCCCCAGACCTTGATTCACCTGAAGGAGGCTGGCAGGTTGGGGGCAGATTGCCATCTGGGAGACCAGCCAGAGGGCCCAGAAAATGGCTGTGAGCCTCATGTGCTCACAGGTGACCCTCTGCCCCATGCCAGTTCCTGCCTCCTTGCCTTTGCCCATGCTGTGCCCTCACCTGGCATGCCCTTTCCATCTTTTAGGGGCACCCTTGCACTTGTTCTTAGTGACTCAGCCTGAGCCAGCTGGGTTCCCCAGCCCCGATGGTTTCCTCTCTAGTATACCCAGAGCGCTTCACACACCTTTTCTGTATTGTCCCTGTGAGGCCCAGGACAGCCAGTATCCCTGGCACCCAGGACAGCCGGGCTCAGAGCAGAGCCCACCCCACCCTGGACAGCAAACACAGGTGGTACCTGAGACGGGTGTGGGGCCCTTCTCACAGACAAGCCAGCCCCCATCCTGAAGCTATCTAGGGGTCCATAGAGTTGCCACATTAACTTAAACTCAGGTTGAAAGGGGCTAGTTGTGAGTAAGAAGAGATACCCTTCTCACTGCTATCGCTCAGGAAATTCCAAGGGTCCAGGTGCTCTTGTGCCCAGAACTGGGGAGAAAGAGAGAAGATCGATACACTTGTTGTATCACACATCAGGCTTGCCCTCCTCCCTTCCTGCCTCTCACCATCACTGGTGAGCATACTCCTCAGCCTTGCTTGTACCAGATACTCAGGCTGACCCTGGTTGCAAGGTGCTCCTGCAGATGTGTCCTCAGCAGTGCACAGCAGCACACGGCCTACATGTTTCCGTATGTAGTATTGTACAGGGCTTGGACCCTTGGAGGGAATGCTTGAGGCTTTTGGAGGTCTTGTCTGGCGGGGTGATTCAGGGGTGCCTTCATGGCGGAGGTGCCCTATGACTGTGCTGGGGAGTCCTAGGCATGTGCACCTAGCAGACTGGGCTTTGTGGGCTGGGGTGGGACTAAGCCAGGCTCTCTAGGCCTTAGTAAAGAGTCTGGAGTTGCCCAAATGCCTCTGGCCAACCAGGATGATCAATGGGCAGTAGGGCAGGGAGCTCAGGTAGGCTGACTTTGTCTGCCTTGGAGGGTTCCACCCAGCTGGCTGTGGGTGAGACCTAGGCAGCCTCCAGTCTTACGGCCTGTTGCTTAATTTGGATGTTTCTAGAATGCTGAGCCTTTTTTGGATGTCAGCATTTGGGCCCTTCCAGGGCTTGGAACAGTTGTGCCTTGCCCCTCTTCAGGGCCCCCTTGGAGCTTTCCCTTCAGCTACCCTGGGGAGAAGGGTGGGGACAGGTCTAGCAGCCCCAGGCATCCCGCAGGCCCTGGATGAGCAGATCTTTCTCCTAGTTCTGTCCTTTCAGCCACCAGCTCTGGGTGAAGCGGGCCAGCAATGGGGCTGGGGGTGTATAGAGAAAAAGCAGAAAAGAAATAGGGGGAAGCCCAGCCTTCAGAGAGCCTTAGGAACACTCACTTGGAAAGGAGTTGAAACTAAACTGAAGATCTAGGATGAGCCTGACACTCTGCATGCAGGCAGCCCCCTCCAGTGGGCAACGCTGAGGCCTGGCAGGGCTGTCCTCCCATCCCTTCTGTCCCCTTATCACTGAAAAGACAGTCTCAGCAAATCCGATGAGCCTGGGTGGTGGCGAATTCATAGACTCAAAGAACTCACGCAGCACAAGTGCTTGGGGTGGGAAGGGTGGCTGGTGATACAGGGGCTGGGGGAGGGCTGGCTTGTGGTTTGACAGCTGTGGAGATTTCAAGAGTTTAATTTGACAACGAACTAAGTGTGACTTCACAGTGGGATATGACTGCCAAAGCTGCCAGCGCAGACCTGGGCCACGTTAACAGGAAACAGTCAACGATGCGCCAGGGAAGCCGGGACTGCTCTGCCCTGGTGTCAGGGAGGGGCTGGAGGGCTCTAGCTCTGGGCCAGCACTGGTCAGGACACAAAGCATGGTGTGGTCAGAGGAACAGGCCAGGATGGGGGGCACCTGCGGGGCAGTAAGGAGACATAGGACACTTGGAAGAAGACAGGGTGATGAGGCAGGAGTGAAGTGGAAACCTAGCCCAGCTCACCTCCTGAGGCCTCCCAGACCTTGAGGAGCTTGGGGACCCAGGAAAGCACCATCTGGTCTCAAGCACACAGAGTAGGTACTCACAGAGTATTTTGTGAATGAACGAATGAATGGATAAAGATGTGAATGTCTGAAATGGCACAGGACCAAACCTAATGGGCTGGAAGAAAAGCACAAGCTGCCACTTCATGAGCCCGGATTTCATCTACTTGCTTTTGGACCAGCTGCCAGCTTCCGGCCAATGTCTCATTTATGTCACTGATGAGTGAGGAGTGTGAGCTCCTCCCTGGAGGAATGGGCACACCTGGGTAGCCCCAAGACCCCACCAAGATCTGCCTGGAGCCTGGGGGTTTCCTTCAGCCAGTCATTCATTCACCGACCATGCAGGGGCAGCTACCTTCTGAGCAGCCTGTAGAGCCCAGTGATGGGATGTGAACCAACACCCTCCCTGCTCCTGTGGGCTTACATTCCAGCCAGAAAACAACATGTAGATGAATGTATACATGGTGCAATGTCTGATCCTGATAAATGTGGGATAATAAAGCAGGGTAGGCTCAGGAGGCTGATGAAGTGACATTTGAGCAGACGCTGGAGTGGGGAGAGGGAAGAAGGGACGTGTGTAGGTATCTGGGGAAGTTTCTCAGCAGATGAAAGAGCAAGTGCAAAGGCCCTGGGGTAGGTTTGTGCCTGATGTGTTAGGAGTGCAAGGGGGGATGGAGAGGCTGGGGTGAGCAAGCAGGGTGGGGAGAGGTGGGAGATAAGGTGATAGGGTGCTGGCCACATAGGGCCTCATAGGCCACAGTAGGATGGGACTACCTGTGAGGTAGGAGTCATGGGCATTTTCTAAGAGAGCAGTGACATGACTGAACGTCTCAGCAAGATCCCCAGGCCACTGTGCAGCCTGAGTGGTGCCAGGGACGTAAGCATTTTCTGCTGCCCTGGGACCCCACATGTCCTGCAGCCTCTATCTCAGCCTTACTGTTGCCCTTCTAGCGGAAGCTCTGGGCCTGGACCACATGGTCCCCGTCCCCTATAGGAAGATCGCCTGTGACCCAGAAGCTGTGGAAATCGTGGGCATCCCGGACAAAATCCCCTTCAAACGCCCCTGCACCTACGGGGTCCCCAAGCTGAAGCGGATCCTGGAGGAACGGCATGGCATCCACTTCATCATTAAACGGTACTGCCTGGGCTTGGGGAACCAGGGTGTTGGGAGGGCCCTCAGGAGGGAGTGATGGGGCAGGGGTGGCGGGAAGGTGTTCTGTGACTTCACAGGTAGAATCAGGTACGTCTGGGAGAGATTCAGGTTCCTTGACCTCAGAACTGCATGGCCTTCTTCCTGGCCTCTTCCACAGTTTGCGTGGAAAGCGAAGGCACCGTCCCTGGCTTGAGGGGCACTTGGTAGGTTCCTAATAAGGAGGGTTTTCCTCCCCATAAAGACCTGAGGCCTTTGAACTTACCTGCCTCCAAAGGGCAGCCCACCTGAGCTCAGGCAGGGCTATGTCTGCTCCTCCCCTTCTGTGCTGCCCTGCCAGCTGTAGTTGACTGTCTCCTGTCTTTGCAGGCACCTGTTTCCTCTGGTGCCAGTGTGGGTGGGTGGGGGCAGGGGTCCATGGACGCCAGAACAGCAACCTCCCTTACTTCCCTGCCTGCTGCTGGGAGTTTGCCCTCATAGCTGTCTAGACTCTGCCAAGAAAGCTCCAGCCCTTCCCTAAAGGGTTGGAGACCAAGGGTGGCCAGAGGCCATGTCATCCAGACCCTGCCTCAGGCAGCACTGCACGGTCTACCTCCCAGGCCTCTGTGCCTGAAGGCCCCTGGGGCGCTCTCCTTTGTGTTCTGTGTTTACCTGCCTGGTGCTAGTTAGTTGCCACTGGCTGTAAGCAAGGACTTAGGGAGGTGTTTTGTTCATTGCTGAATCCCCAGCACCTAAGCACCCTCTGCTGTGTAGGAGACACCCACCATGCATGTGTAGAATGAAGGCGTGAATGAACGAATGCTCCTCCAGCCTTTTGACTTGGTAGAGCTTAGGAAATAAATGGGGTAATGGGAGAGAGGAGGAGACCTATTCAGGGTGATCAGGAGCCTCTGAGAGGTCCCATTTGCTAAGGCAGAGCTGGGAGATTGGAAGGGGTACCTGCACTCAACTGGGCACTGTCTGATGGAAGGGCTAATGTCAGTGGACAGCCCAGACACTCCCAACACACACACAGACACACAGACACACACACACACACAGGATGTGAGGAGGCTGGGACATGAGCAGAGACTGGAAGTTGACTGAGATCACAGAGTTTTTCTGGAGCAAAGGAGCGACCTCTGCGGAGAGGGATCTGACAGTCCCTCTGGCTGCTGGGGAAGAGTGGACTCCAGGGAGCCAAGAGCAGAATTGGGGAGGCCCATGCGGCTGCAGCAGTGGGCTGGATTTGGGATAGACTAAGCCATGATAGGATTTGTCGGTGGGTGAGATGTAGAGGCAGGGAGAGCCATCAGGAGGCAAGATGCACCCCACGCTTCTGACTGCAACTGGGGGAAGCAGGTCTGGGTATGAGTTTGCCTCGCATGTGTTAACTTGGACATGCTCAGGAGGTGGAATTCTCAGAGGTCCAGTTGAGATGTCTGAGGTTCCAGAGAGAGGGCTGCATTGGAGATAAAGTACAGATAAAAATCAGAGTTGTCAGCATGGGCCAGAGAAGGATCACAGAGAAAGAGAAAGAGGCCTGCGGGGATCCCCACTTAGAGGGCGAGGAGTCTCCAACAAGAGACTGTGAGGAGTGGCCAGAGGATGGGCACTCAAGCCCTGACAGCTGACTGTGGGTTCTGCTCAGAGCCCTTCACTGCCCTGCCTTGGGGTGGGGGGATGGGGTGGTGAGGGCAGCCCACGCCTCCTCTGGGCAGGTGCAAGCAGAACTCCTGCTGCCTTCCCTGTTATTGGTATTATGGGGCTCCCCGGGTCCCAGACCACCCCCCCCAGCTCTGGCCTCTAAATCCCGCCTTCCTACCAGGACACAAGCCCAGTGGGAGAGGATCTGAGTTCACGCCACAGGGGCAGAACTTAGGAGGGAAGCGTATGGTGGGGGAGGAATCCTAGAACTCTGGTTTGTTGTGAGATCGATAGTGACACCCTTGGTCATGCCCTTCAAGGGGGCCTTCCATACCTGGCAGCCCTTTGAGGGGGGCTGTCATAGTCTTGGAACATCAGACCTCCCTGTCCTCTGGCCCCCAACTCCTCCCCAGGAACCAGTCACGGTGCTGTGTCGAGCCCCTGTCCCTGCTCGCTGATACACACATAAAGCTTTCAATAATGAAACCACAGTCGATGCTGGCAGCCTCCCAGTCACTGCGTGGGACTGAGGAAGCAGGCATCAGAAGGGAAGCCACTGTTCCCCAGAATGACTCCCCATGGCAGCCTGGGCCTCCTGGAATAGTAGGGGAGCTAGGGGCACTCTAAGAATGAGAATAGGAAGTCACACTTTGGGGTCTCTCTTCCCTGGTGACCCAAACTGTGCTGCTGCCACTTGTTAGGCCTCTCTGAATTTCCCACTGGGCCTGTTGGGCATTGCTTGGCCCCTATATCCGAACATCCCTTCATTGGTCTCCTGTCACCTCTGGAACCTGTTTAGTGACTGAGGCCTGTCCCCTCGTCCAGCTGCTCCACAGCACATCGGCTTTGCTGCCCCCGCATGAGCGGCTTGAGGCTCCCCACCCTGCTGGGTACTACCCTGGTGGGACTTGAGGGTAAAACAGGAAGAACAGCCCAGGAGGCAGCAGCTCGTGGTCCCAGCTCCATCCCCAATTTCCTGGCCCAGGCTTCTAAGTCTTATCTGGATAACTGGGAGGTCTCCCCAATCTACCTCTGTGTGATGATAGAGTGATCTGGGCACACCATGCTCATCAGGGACTCCCCGGTGCCTACAGGGAAGACTCCTCATTCTGAATACCATGCTGAGGACTGTTAACCTCCCAGGGGATACCCCCAGTTAGCCAGGTGGAGCCCCCAGCCAGCCCTGCCTCCAACCCCACCCACGCCATTACCTGGATACTCTCTCAGGCACCCTAAATTCACCGTCCCCTCCTCCCTAAAGCCTTTCCCAACCCCTACCCTGTGTAGGTCCCCTTGGTTTCTGAGATACTCATGACAGAGGTCCTGTCACCCTGTGGCTAGTGACAGGCCTGGCTGTGCAGTCAACAGAGGTCTTGGGCGCAAACCTCTGCCCACATCTGTCACTGGGGCACATGAGACTGGATAATGCCTGCAGGGCCCTGGAGGGGAAGGGGAGTGAGTCATCCCCAGCTGTGGCCAAGGAGCTCAGGTGGAGAGCTCAGGAGGCTCCTGGGGCATCCCGATGAGCAGGTTGGACTCTGCAGGACCACCCAGGACCCAGCCCCTGCCTTCCCTGACTGGAGAAGTTGTTTGGGGTACCTGGCTATCCGGACAGTGCCCTCTCCTGCCCGCACTTCCCAACTGGGGGCCGACCCAGTGCCCAGGCTGGAGTTGTGGTTGTGCATATGTACTCCGGTGACCATCACTTAGGGGACCTGGAGGCCAGCTCCCTGAGCCTGGGGGAGCCCTGGGCCTCACCACTTACGTCTGTCTCTCCTCTCTCCCCAGGATGTTTGATGAGCGAATTTTCACAGGTACGTATGAGTAACCTCTCGTCTGCTCTGAGCCTGCCAGGCTGATGTCCCCAAGGTGCTCGAGTGGTCATCATACTGACCCTGTTCTCTTGAGTCCCTCCCTGGCATGGCTCCTGCATCCCACAAAACCACTCTCCCGCTTTGCTCCCCTCCCTCTGCTGCAGCAGGAGGATGGCCTGGACTTTACCTCCCTTACCCAAATCTTATCAGAATGTGTCTTGTTGACAGATCCTCAGTTGCATCCAGCACTAGCATAAGAGTCTGGGAAATGTGGTTTTAGGTTTCAGACTTATCCAAATATGGGAGCAGGGGCTGGACCTTGAGCATCAGTCCACACGCTACAGATGGGTTCCCAGGTGCCAAAATTGTATTTTGTTTGCAATAGTTCTATGAAGTCGGGTCTGCTCTTCTCCCTGAAGCCCAGCTCAAGAGCAGTGGGGCCTAGTTGCAAACCAGGCCTGTGACTCCAGCCGCCAGTGAGGCTCTACCTGGTGCAGCACTGGGAGCTCGGATCCTGGGATTCCAGTGCTAGCCCCCCACCAGCTTTGTGATCTAGGGCTGGGTGTGAGGGCCTCTGTTTCCACATGCATGAAATGGGGTGATGAGTGCCTTCCTCTGAGTTCCTTGGATAATGAGTGAGAGATTCTGGCCCCACACCTAGCCTTGGAGAGACTTGGCATCTTTCCTGAGGAGTCCCTCAGCCCCAGTAGTGTGTGTGAGGTCAGGACAGCCATTTCTTAGCTGCTTCTCTCCTTCCTCCTGCCCAGTCCTCCCAGGCTCTTGGCTTCCTCTGCCCCTGCTAGGGAGGCATTTCTCCCATTCCTGGCTGTTGACTGGACATGGAGCCCACAGGGAAGGGTATAGACCAGCCTGTATCCAAGGGGCACCCCCAGGAGCATTACACAGAGCCCTGCCCAGTTTCCCGCAGGCAAGAGGAAGCTGGAGAGCCTTCACCCTGGCCTCTTCACCTCTCCTTTCTCTCCATGCAGGGAACAAGTTTACCAAAGACCCCACGAAGCTGGAACCAGCCAGCCCACCAGAGGACACCTCTGCCGAGGCCTCCCGTACCACCGTCCTCGACCTGGCGGGTACTGCTCGGTAAGGCCCCAACTCCAGCCACAGCCACTCCTATCTCTGGGCTGTGTGAGGCCCAGGATGGGCCAGAGGATACTGTGCCTGCATCCCCTGGCACCTAGCGCAGGCACAGGCTCATCCGGCACAGACCCCTGCATGCGCTCCCTGCACAGAGCCAGGGAGAGTCCAAAGGGACGAAAAGGACAGGCTCCGCTGATGTTCTTCCACCGAAGAGTCTTGTCCCCTCTGGGATTTATCACGTGTGTGCTGGTCTCCAGAGCCTTCCCCGGCACCCAGACTAGCGTGCCCTGCATGTCCACAAGGTCCTGCACTCAGCATATGACCTGGTAACTGTCCACCAGTGCCCCCTCCGGCCTCAGGGGTCCAAAGATGAACCATATATCCCAGAATCCCCACATCCAGCCCAGGCATCCCACACTGTGCTGTGTGAGGGAAGGAGGGAATTAACTAGTCATCTCTCCTACAGCTCCCACTCAACTTTACTCTCCAATCCCTTCCCAGATTTCCTTGCCTCCTTCCAGCCTGGTGGGCCCTCCAGCACTCAATCCCCCCAACAAGCACTGATCAGAACCCCAGTGTGCTAAGTTGCAGCTCCCATACTGGTCAGGCCCGGGTCCTGAGGCTCCCAGCTGGTGGGGAAGGTGAAAGCCTGGACAGTTCACCCCAGGATAGTGAGTAAGATCTTGACAGGGCAGCCAGAGACCATTGTTCTGGAAGATGGGGACTGGGAATCTCTCAGGTATGGGTGCGGGGGGTGGGGAGTACCATCCTATAGGGATGGAGATGAATGTGTTCAGAGGTGTGTTCTAAATTGGTAGCCACTGTGGGCCCTGACTACCTGGCTGTGAGGCTGGGGCCTGCCATGTCTGCTTCCTCCCTACAGGTCAGATAAGAGCAGTATCTCTGAAGACTGTGGGCCAGGTGAGAAGGGGCAGAACCCCACCATGTATGACATGGTGGGGCTGGGAGGGTGCCCTCTAGCCCCACCCAAACACCTTGGAGAGGAGACAGGCCTCCCCCTGCAGGCCTCATTCTGAGAGCTCCTTGGGAGACTGGAAGGGGCACATGGGTCTTGGGTGGCATTGTGGGGGAATTGGGAGACCTGAATTCTGGTATCTCCACTGCCTCCCAGTGTGTCTGTGGCAAGTGTCTTCCTCTCTGTGGACCTCAGTTGCCGGGTCTGTAAATTGGAGACAGCAGAACTGGCCTGAGGCCCCTCCCTGAGGGTCAGCCTGACTCTCCATTCTGGCCTGGAGTGTGGGGTCTGACATGGCTTTTCTTGGCACTTGCTGACAAGTCCCAACAGGAGAATGTTCTGGGATGACTTGCCCTACCCAGCCAAGTCTTTGCCCAGATCTGATTGGATCCCCACTTTGTCCTTGCAGGAACCTCTGGGGAGCTGGGGGGACTGAGGCCCATCAAAATTGAACCAGAGGATCTGGATATCATTCAGGTCACTGTCCCAGGTGAGGGCTTCTCCACCTGAACCTACAGGAAGTAAGCAGCTCGCAGACCTGCACATCCCCTCCGGGCTGCCCCGGGACAGGCCTCCATGTCATGGTTTCTCTGCCGTGGTTCTGAGATCAGGGGGTTCCGAATGTCCTTCTGCAGCCACATCTGCCCTCTGGGTTGGGAATTAGGTCTCTCAGCTACGACCTTCCTAATGGCCCCCCAGCTTTGGCATCTCTGGCCTGACTTCCCTGGCATTTGTGAGGCAGGCTGGAGGAAAAGAAAATGCTCTGGAGTGTGAGGATCTGAGTTTGACAGCAGACTCAGAATGCCCAAGCCTCAGTTTCCTCATCACCACTGGGAGCCAGTAGGACTACAGACCCCCAAGGGCCCTGCCTGGCCTCCCAGAGTTCCAGGGTGGGGTCATCTGAGTGCCCTGCTCTGTGGGTGCTGGGCTGCTGGTCCCTCAGGGACCATGATGGATGGTACAGAACAAAGATCCTCTTGTTATTTGGGGTTTTGTCTCCAGACCCTTCACCAACCTCTGAGGAAATGACAGACTCGATGACAGGGCATCTGCCTTCAGAAGATTCCGGTTATGGGATGGAGATGCTGACTGGTAAGAAATGGTTTAGGATGTGCCTCCCTGGGGTGTGATGGTACTAGCTGCCCCTATTAAGGACTCCCAGTGTATCCCCAGCTTCCCACTTAGACTGGACTCCTTTCTAGAGGAAAGAAGTAGGCCTTTCCCTGACTTGTGGTAAGTCTGGTCACCGTATTTTTCCCAGGAGCACCCCATTTGGATTTATTTGTTCATATATTCACCAACTATGCTGAGCACCCATTGTGGACCAGGTCCTATGCAGGGTGCTGGGGACACAGCAGTGGACCAAACAGAACTCCCTACCCTCCTGGGACTAACATCCCAGTGCAAGAAGACAGTAGTAAGCAAATCAATAAGTAAAATAGAAAGTCAGATAGTGGGAAGTGCTGTGCAGGGCACAGAGCTTGGGGAAGTGTCAGGGGCAGTTAGAGGATTTGGGTAGTCAGAGAGGACCTCATGGACACTGGGGCAAAATTGCTGAAGGACATGTAGATGGGAGCCAAATAGATGTCAGGAAAGAACGTTTGAGACAGAGGGGACAACAAGTGCAAAGGCCCTGGGGTTGACTCTGCTCAGCATATCCAAGGAAAACAAGGAAACCCAGGTGGCTGGAGCAGAGGGAGGTCATGGGGTGGGTTATGTAGGGCAAGTACATCAAAGGGAGTGATGGAACTTGGCTCTGAGGTGATGGGGAACCACTGGGGACTTGGAGCTAACCAGGGCCATTTTAACAGTGTTTATTCTGTCCTTAAGATTGAGAATAGACTGCTGAGGAGTGGGGGCAAAGACAGAAACAGACTGCTGCAGTAATCTAGGCTACAGGATTGGCTTCACAGGTGTACAGCTCCAGGAAAGGGTTGGGGGTCTATATGTTTGGGTGTTTTAACTCAGAATGTTTCAAAAACCTGCAAAACTGGAAAGAGTAGTTTAATGAATCTCAATATCCAATTCCAGCATTATCAACAGATGTTATTATAGATACTAAAAATAAGAATGATCATAAATAGTTAACATTTTTTCAAAGTGAGTCATTAATGACAAGTGGCATATAAGTTACAGTACCCAGGTCTCCTGGATATAGCAGGGTATGATATTTGTACTCAGATGACTGGCGTGTGGAGAGCTCTGTAACAAGGGGAATGTGGGGCCGGGCCAGGAGACTTTAAGAAGACGGCTGGTGTTTGTTTGTGCATGGGTGGGCTCACTTGAGGAGGGCAGAGGCACCTGCATGCGGATTCGGGCGTAGTAGGCAGCATTTAGGTGAACAGTACAACGAGATCTCAAAACTGTTACATTCAATGGAAAAAGTAGGACCAGAAGGACACGGACAATACAGCATTTATCAAAATTGGGAAAACATAAAAACTGTCTTGTTCAGTGTTTTATTAAAAAATCAGGTACAAAAATTAAAAATAAACCAATTGAGAAAAAAATCAGGTGTGAATATGATAAAATGCTAACACACACTGTTGGCCCCGGATCCGAGGGTTCTGCATGCTCAGATTCAACCAACTGTGGGTGGAAAAATACCTTGGATAGTATACCAACTAAAAATACCTTGGCTGCAATGGTTGCATCCACCGTACTGAACATATACAATGTTTTCCTTGTTATTATTCCCTGAACAATACGTTCGAGCTCGAGCAACTGTGTCTGCATGGGCATTCACAGTGAATTGGGCCTTTTTTTTTTTTTTTAAAGATTTATTTATTTGTGCATACAAGAACTGCGGTATAGGCTAGAGGTGTGGTGGGTGAGAGGATTCACCAGAGACAGTAGGGAGCAGAACAGGTAGATCTACTGAAATACACTGCTGAGGGGAGCAGCGGGCGAGACAGGAGAGGTCTGCTGCGCCATGTGGGCAGCTCTCTGGCCAGCCAGGGATCAAACTCGTGCTGCAGAGGCTGCGGATAGCTTCATAGTGCTATGCTTAACCCCTTGCGCCACCAGAGAGGCCCTGAATTGGGTCTTACAAGTCATCTAGAGATGACTTGAAGCACATGGAGGATGTGCACTGGTTATGTACAAATATTACACCATTTTCTATAAGAGACACGTAAGTGTCCCCCAGAAAGGCAAACCTTGAAGGACAGCCTCAGGCTGCCAGCTGACCACACTTCCACTGGGCAGCAAGCTGGGGACCTGAACGGTCATCCTAGTGTTGGACACTACATGAATGGATAATGCACAAAAATTTTTTGAAAGGTGCATAAACAAGCACAGGCAGCCTCAGAGTGATGAGGGCTTGAACAGAGAATGTCCCTTTTACCTTTTAATTTGATGGAATTTTCATTGAGCATTTTGGGAAACAGCCAGTGCAGGTTGGCAATTTGTTTAAGGAAATGTGTCTGCTTATAAAGAGTCATAAGCACCCCCTGATAGTTCCAGGAATTGAGTCCTTGGAAACTGTCTAAAATGTAGGTGTTTTTTCCTCAGTGTCAGTGTTCATGGCAGTGTCAATAATAACAAAAAATTGGGAAGAGCCGGTCCAACTGTCAGGGAATGGAGAATGGTATATTCTCCTGGCGGATTACTACGTGGCCATGAAAAACAGGCACTGAGGGGAAATGTAAAAGACAAGTCTGACTGCACTTTGCTTACAACTGTGTTGAAAATAATCACCAAATTAAAATAAAGAAAGAAAATACCAAAACAGTCATTGTTAGATTCAGTGGCTTATCGTTTTTGTGTTCTAAATCAGTTGCTATGTGCTTTAAATACTTTGGTAATAAAGTATTTTGCCAGGCACAGGCTGGGTATGACTGCACTTGACAGCAAAATGTGCTGATGCTGTGGGGCGTTCAGTTGACCTGAAGCTCAGGATAAGCCTACTGTGTGACCTGTTAGGAAGGCTTCTCCCCACTGGCTTGACACAGGAGGAAACTGAAGGCCCACAAAGCCAGTCTATCTCCCAAGGTCATCCAGCCTTGGACTGGAACCGAGGTTTGCTGACTCCTCTTCCAGGGCTCCTTCCAAGGACCCCCATTCTAAACTGATGAATTATGAAGATGCTGGGGTCTTCGGGACCCCATGGAGTAGAGGGAGGTGTCTGAGCGCATGCTTTTTCTCCCTACATGTGTGCATTGTAAAATCAACAGCTGTGATACATGAAAAGGAAACACTCCACCTGCCCCTCCTCAGGCATGTACTAGCATAGTGTCCATGCTTTGTACATTTCATCTGTGCACATGCTAAGTGTGATCTCACTATTTTGTACATAGTCTCCCTCCTCTCTCCACCTGGTGCCCTGAACATTGTGCCTGCGTGTCCTTGATGGTTTACTGAGGTGGCTTCCTCTTACTTGCTGGCCAAAATGGGGGAGCAGTGAGAACATGGATGGGTTTGCTCAGGGCAAATAGCCAGCTCTCCATGCCTGGATATAAAATCAAGCAGGTCCCCTGTGTTTGGAACCCCAAAGTGTATGGGTTGTTTCTTGCTGCCTTTGAAAGGCCTCCCAGGAGTGGACTCGACACCCATGCCATAGTCTCCAGAGCTGACAGTCCCTGGGATTCTTCCTTCTGCCCTGGTGATCAAGGGTCGTGCTGAGGAAGACCCTTCAGCCTGCCGATGCACCCACTCCTGGCACTGGCACTGCCTCCTCCAGCACCAGCCCATCATCTCTGAGCTTGCCACATGCATCCCCACGCTGCTCCTCCCTTCCTGCCTGCACCCCTCACCCACCCCATTTTCCTAGTCACAGGAATCTACCCCAGGAAACCTCCTCCTGCTGAAAGCCTCCCCTCACCCTTGCTGCTTGGGGGCAAGAATCTAGAGACCAGATTGGTTCCATCGCAGCCAACCCGGGCCAAGGCCAATATCAGAGGTCCCCTGACCACCTGAGCTCAAATAGCTCCACCTCACCTGCCTCTCTCCCCTGTTTCTCATCATGACATCACTTTCAGACACCATATTATGTCGATGCTGCACCAGGAGGACAAGACTTTGTTCCTGCGTGTCTTCAGTGCCTTGAACAAAACAGAACAGAGTAGAAGGAAGGATGGACTGGTGTGGGACTTGCCTCTAGGGGGCACATATCGAATGTCACGGGGTGTCTGCACCTGAACCTGCCCTCCTTGCATGGAGATGAGGGTGGAGTGCCAGTAGAGAATTGGGGTCCCTGAACCCATCTGGGGGTTGCTATGCTGTGCTTCAGAGTCTGGGCCTACCCTTCCCACCTATCTGGCCTGACTTTGGCAGCACAGGGTCCAGGAGATGATGCACGTGGCTTCCTGGCACCTCCTGTTCTCTTTCAGACAAAGGCCCCAGTGAGGACCCGCGGCCTGAGGAGAGGCCTGTGGAAGGTGAGGCGCTGTCCACTTCCCACATTTCATCTCACCACCCCATCTCTCCTCCCCTTCCCCCTTGTTCCCTTTATGTCCCACCCTGTCTCTTTCCAACACCCAGTTTGGGGATGGGAGTCCTGCAGGCTGCCTAAGGTGGGAGGAGATTTATAGACCTGTCTTATAGAACTAGAGGTTCCTGGTCAGAAGTACAAGAGCTCTTTCTAGTAAGGGAAGTTGCAAGGCTTTGATTTTGTTTTATGCAAACCTTGTTGCTTTCTGAAAATGTTTTTAATCTGAGCTCTTAGTCTCATCTTCCTGAGCAAGAATTTAGGCCTGAAAGCACAAAATTGGCTGTGTCTAACAGGCATGCCCATTCTCAGGAACACTGTTCATTCCCCCTCTGCTGAGTGAGAGTAGGACAGGAAGGGAGATCAAGGTGAGGATGGATCTGTTTGCTCTCAGGAGTATCTGCTACTGGTGGAAGGAGTGGGTATCAGAGAAAACAAATGTCACTTCCCCAGACCCAGCCTAGTAGTAATGAAGTATTAATAAAAGTGCACTGCCACCTGGTGGCAGCATACTCAATTTGCAGGCTTAGTATTCACCTGATTAAGTCTCTCACTGAGTAGGTCTATAATGACAGTCACTTAGAAAGATCATATTTAGACCTCAAAAACAACCAAGTCTCCATTCAGACATTTGATGATGCCTTAGATCTAATTTTAAAAGCAGGTATTGAGCCCAAGACGTGAATCTGATTAGGGATGCTATTTCTGAAGAAATAGGAAGACCACCCTGGGCCTTCCCCATTAGAGTCTCATTCTTGGTGCCATGAGCAGAGACACGGGGTGCTTAAACCACTGGGGAAGCTCAGTAGACTGACTACCTCTTGCTTTCCAGACAGCCACGGTGACGTGATCCGGCCCCTGCGGAAGCAGGTGGAGCTGCTCTTCAACACGCGATACGGTGAGCAAGGAGCTCGCAGGATTCAGGGCATCCTGGCTCTCTTTTCAGCTGCCCTATTTTCAGGGGGACTTTGGGCCCAGCCCCCCATCCCAGATTCTCCCTGCATGGAGACAACGAGGGCCAGGGGCCTGGGGCCTATCGGATGGGGTACAGGAACACTGAAGGGGCTACTACCCAGCCACTAATCCAATTCCAGGCATCCTGCCCAGGGAAACTGAGGCACTGCCAGAAAACCCCACACCCTTAAATGCTGCATCCCAGACTGCTGGATCAACATACTCTCAGTTGTGGTCATTCTCAGCCTGAGGCCATTCTCTCCACTTGTAGGGACTGCCCCTATTCCCTCACAGACACTCTTGTTCAGGGCCCTCAGTAGGACTCATATGCAGCAGGAGCTTTCCTACTAGAGAAACCAGAAAGGAGGATTAGGAGGTAGGGGAGAGGGTTGTTCTTTAGCCTCAGTTGTTTGCAGACTGGCTGGATGCCTCACACAAGCGCTCTCATCCCATCTCACAGAATCCCATGTCCTAATACCCTTTTTACAGATGAGGAAAGAGGAGGCCTGGAAAGTGACATGGCTTGTCCGAGGCCCCACAACTAGCAGGCTGCAGAGCAGGGCTGGGCCTCAGATCTGCCCTGGGGTGTGGTGTTGGGCCATGCAGGGGTCTTGGGGTATCTATGGTGGCAGAGGGACCCTCTAGAGGACCTTTCTGGCAGCACAGGGACAAGTAGACTGGGGTGGAGCTGGCACCAGGTCTCACCAGTCATCAGTGGAGAATCTCCCGCACTGTCTGGGTGTGAAGCATAGACTGAACCTGGGTTTGAAGGAGCTGCCATTCTTGGGTTTCTGAGACCTAAGATGATTCACCTCTGAACTCCAGGTCTCCTAATTGTAGATTGACGGTGGTAGTACCCACTGGGTTTGAAGGAGCTGCCATTCTTGGGTTTCTGAGACCTAAGATGATTCACCTCTGAACTCCAGGTCTCCTAATTGTAGATTGACGGTGGTAGTACCCACCTCTCAGGAGGCTCAGAGGGTACAGCTAAGGGTTGACTCTCAATACGTCTCTGGCCCCCCTGGCCCCCACAGATGTGGGAGGCGGGCGTGGAGGTTTGTGGCCCCATAGCTTTGGGTGTCCCTACAGCAGCCATGTCTCTGCAGCCAAGGCCATTGGCATCTCGGAGCCCGTCAAAGTTCCCTACTCCAAGTTCCTGATGTACCCAGAGGAGCTGTTTGTGGTGGGGCTGCCTGAAGGCATCTCCCTCCGCAGGCCCAACTGCTTTGGGATTGCCAAGCTCCGGAAGATCCTGGAGGCCAGCAACAGCATCCAGTTTGTCATCAAGAGGTAAGACTTGGGCCACGGGGACCCCTCAGAGCTTGCCCAGCACCCAGGAACAGCTCCAAGTTCCCATCTCTTTTTTTCCCCCCAAACAGTATGGTGTTAGATGGGCCTGCCAGTCCTGGAACAGCCAGGCTGAGCTTAGTCCTAAGAGAGTAGTCCTCAGTTTGCCCAGAGGTAGAATGGGAATATGCCTACTGACTTGCTCTCCTGGACTATTCTGAGCATCCTCCAAGCACGTGTGTTGGTGTTCTGGGGCTGGGGCCAGGTGCTGCTGGGGGCAGGGCCCATTATCCCAGGACTGGCAAATCAGGCGGTGACTTCTGCAGGTTCTGTTTTCTTGGCAGTGGAGCCCAGCATATCCCTGTGTACTGACTTGGATACTAAGTTCCTCTTGAAGAGACAGAGGCAGTTACTGATTTAAAAAGGCTGGGAGGGACCTGGGTTTTTTTTTTAAGAGTTATTTATTTATGCATACAAAAATTGGAGTACAGGCCAGAGGTGTGGGGGGTAAGGGGATTCACCAGAGACAGAGTGGGGAGCAAAACGGGCAGATTAACTGAAAGACACTGCTGAGGGGAGCAGCAGACAAGACAGGAGAGGTCTGCTGTGCCATGTGGGTAGCTCCCTGGCCGGGAATCGAACTCATGCTGAAGAGGCTGAGGAGAGCTTCATAGGTTGTGTCTTAACCCCTTGTGCCACCAGGGAGGCCCCGGCCCTTCGTGTTTATTGCTTCTGTGTGATGCTCTCACAGCCTCTAAGTTTCAGAAAGTGATAATGAGAAAGAGACTCTTATGGATTTGTTTTCCTTGGGGGAGTAGATGGTCCCCAAATAGGGAGACTCACAACAGCGACAGGTAGAGAGTCTCACATGGGGCCTAGTATGCACCAGGAGGAGGAAGGGGGCGGGGCCCCAGGAGACACCAACAGTGGAGAGAAAATACACCTGAGTTCCCACCATGTGCCAGATTGCAGTGTAGCAGCAAATGCTTCCAAGTCCTGCTTTTGAGTTGGCCAATCTCACCAAATGGAATCACAATGTAGTGTCAGACAGAGTAAATGCTGTAACCAGGATAAGGGGGCAGAAGGAACCTGTCTAAGGGGTGACATTTGGACAGAAACCTGATAAAGTGAGCCATACAGATTATCTGGTGGAGGAGTGCTCAGGTGCGCAGGCCCTGAAGCAGGGACATGCTTACATCTTTGAAAAGTAGCAGGGTGCTGGCGTGATTGCTTCAGAGTACGTGAGGGAAGAGTGGTGACTGGTGAGCCCCAAGAGGTAGCAGAGGCCAGATCATATCGGGTCTTGGGCCTGCTTAAAAAGTTTGGATTTTATTTTCAATTTAATGAGAATTTACTGGAAAGTTTTGGGATGGATAGATATGGTCTGGTCTTTTTTAATTTCTCTGTGAGATAGAGAGGGGCCTGGGGAGGGATGGTGGGCGGGCTTAAAAGAAGGGGTCAGTGGCCAAGGGGACAAGGTGGCAACTTGGACTCGGTAAAGAGAGGGGCGGGATGGTGAAAAGTTGGCAGATTCAGGTAATAATTTGAAGATGGGCTGGCAGAATTTGCTGATATATGGATGGAGAGAACGAGGAGCTGGGATGACTCAAGTTAGCGACTGGGTGACACCATTTTCTGAGTTGGAGGCAAGGAGATGGAGGATTTAGGTGTGACTTGTGTTATGTTTGGGATACATGGGGGCCTGTGAGGGAGAAATGGCAGGGGTTAACGGGACTTACAGACCAGCGCACAGGGGAGAGGTCGGGTGGGAACAGCCCCGTGGGAGCTGTCAGCACTCAGGAGGGGCCAAACACCCAGAATCAGAAGCACTTGGATGGCCCGAAGGAAGACGCCAGATCAGCATCATCTCCTGGTGAATGGGCTTTCCTTATTGTTTGCCCGCAGAGAAGACTCTTCTCCTGCTCCTGAGCACTTTTATTTTATTTTTTTAAAAGATTTTTTATTTATTCATGCATACAAGAACTGGGGTACAGGCCAGATGCACAGGAGGGTGAGAGGATTCACCAGAGACAGAGTAGGGAACAGAACAGGCAGACTGACGAAATACACTGCTAATGGAAGCAGTGGGCGAGACAGGAGAGGCCTGCTGCACCATGTGGGATTCTCCCCCGCCGGCCAGAATCGAACTGGCACTGCAGAGGCTGTGGACAGCTTCACAGCGCTGCACTCAACTGCCTGCACCACCAGGGCAGGCCCCTAAGCACTTTTAATGCCACTTTGTATCAGAAAGCAGGCAGATTAGCCCCGAGGCTCTGTGGCTCTCCTGGGTCAGCGTCCAGCTCCTGCTATGACTTCCCATGACCTTAAGCAGAGTGAACCTCACCGCTTCACGGGGTCGTGATGGAGGTCACAGACAACAAAGGGCCTGGCTCACTGAAGTACTCAGGCAAGATAGATTTGTTTGTTTTTTAATGTCAGGCTTATTGAAGTTTATATTTATTAATATTAAAATCCACCCCGTTCTTTGAGCTTTGATAAGCTCATCCTGGCATGTAACCACTACAACATCAAGATTCCCACAGTTCCATCACCCAAAAAATGTCCCTGTGCCCTTTGTTGCCATCCTTAGCCCCTGGCAACCGCTGATGGATTTTCTGTCCTCCCCGAGTGCCTTTTCCAGAAGCCACATAAGTGGAATCAAGGCAGGTGAAGCCTTTTGTCCCTGGCTGCCTTCACTTAGCTTTTTTTGGTTGTTGTTGTTGTTATTTGTTTGTTTTGTTTGTTTGTTTGTTTGTTTTGTGGGGCCCTCACCAGCAGCTGGGGAAGGAACCAGTGATGCAGAGGCTGCGGGCAGCCTCGCAGCCCAGCGCTCAACTGCTGCGCCACCAGGGGAGGCCCTGCCTTCACTTAGCTTTTGAGATTCATCCACATAGTTGCCTACAGAGTTCATCCCTTACAAAAAATACTAATTATAAAACTTTAAAAGGTGAATTTAACCAATTGCAGTTTTCTGGAAGCCAAGTGAAGAAAGCGATTCAAGGAGGCTAGAGGGTACACATTGTCAAAGGCAACAGTTGGGGTGGTGGGCTAAGGACTAGCTGGGGTGATTTCAAGAGATGATTAGAGGAGTGAGATCGAACACTTGATATTTTTGTTCTTCCTTTTTAAAATTGACAAAAGATACTGTTGGGAATATTAAGAGAAAAATAGCCACTTCTCGTTAATCTCACATTTTTTATTTACGTAAAAAGGGCACATTTTGGGGGTGATATAAGTGTTCTGGAAATAGACAGTAGAAGTATAACTGCATGAACAACATTGTAAATTTCTTGAAAGCCACTTTACATGAGTGCATTTTATGGTATGTGAATTACAACTCAATAAAGCAGATATAGGTAGGTAGGTAGATAGATAGATAGATAGATAGATAGATAGATAGATAGATAGATAGATAGATAGATAGATAGATCATACATATGTAAGTCCATATGTAGGTATGTTTGAATGGATGTTTGTGTGTACATCACTTTGCTAGGCTGCCATAAAAAAAAAGTACTGTAGGGCCTCCCCGGTGGCACAGTGGTTGAGCACTGGGTTGTGAAGCTGCCCGCAGCCTCTGCAGCGCCGGTTCAATCCCCGGCTGCTCCCCGGCCACTGGAGGAGGGTCCCGCATGGCATGCAGACCTCTCCTGCCTCCTACTGCTCCCCTCAGCAGTGTACTTTGGTCCTTCTGCCTGCTCTGCTCCCCGCTCTGGCTCTGGTGAATTCTCTCACCGTCCCGCGTTTCTGACTGTACCCAGTGCTTGTATAAATAAATAAATAAATAAATAAATCTTTAAAAAAAAAAAAAAGTACTATAGCTTTTGAGATTCATCTACTTAGTTGCCTATAGTCTGGGATGCTTGAACATTTATTTTTCAGTTCTGGAGGCTAGAAGTTCAAGATCAAGATTGCAGGTATAGTTTCTCCTGAGGCTTCTCCCCTTGATTTGCAGATGGCTGCTTCTGTCTGTGTCTTCAAATGGTCTTTTCTCTGCACACGCATCCTTGCTGTCTCTGTATATGACGCAGTCTTTTCTTATAAGGACACCAGTCAGATTGGATTGGGACCCACCCCGATATTCCTTGTTTTAATTTAATCACCTCTTTAAAGTCTCTATTTTCAAATACAGTCACTTCTTGAGGTGGGTGAGGGCTACAGTTCAACTCATAGTAACATACAGATGAGAAATCATCACCTGCCTACACATCGCTAAGTGATAGTCTTTCCACCTGAACTTGACTTCCACATCCTTCTAAACCATATTCCAGACAACCATGCCAGTCAACTTTGGCTCTTAATCAAGTTAAACTTTCTAACCTTTGGTCAAAAACATCCTTAATCCAGATCCTTGACCTTACAGGCAAAATTTTGATATTCTTTTGTGCAGTCTTCTAAGGAACGGGTCCCTTGCTTTCATCAAATTCTCCAAAATTAAAAAACCCTTAGGAAAGGTGAAACCACAGGAGTCTTCATGCACATGAGAGACTGAACAGGGGACATAGAGATGGGAGACCTGTCTGATTGCCACGCAGGACTGATGCTGACACCCCAAAGTCAGCAGACTCTTCAAGGCACTGCCCTCACTGGAGACACCTTCATTGTAGACACCAGCCACAAGTTTGGGGGTCCCTAAGCCACCCACACTTCTGAGCAACTGGCTCCAAATTCAGGGCTCCCCAGGGTTCTCCCAGGTTTGCTCACTAGCTATCATGAGCCACAGGCCTCAGGAAAGCGCTCCGTGACGACTGCAGCTTTACATCTTGGATGCAGGTCAGGACCAGCCCAGTGAAGAGACACAAAGGATGAGGCCTGGAAGACACAAGCAGCTTCCACGCTCTCTCCGTGAAGTCAGGGCACCTCACTTCCCAGCATGTCACCAACTAGGCAGCTCCCTCGAGCTTCAGTGTCCACAGCTTTTATCAAGGGCCATTAGTAGGTATGCCTGATTTGGTAATTGGCTACATGATTGAACTCAATCTTCCAGCCCTTCCTCTCCCTCGAGGCCCAGAGGCAGGCTGGTAACAGTGACTTGAGGTCCTAATCCTCTGGTCACTTGGCTGCCCCTCCTCAGTCATCAGGAGTGGTGATGATTCAGCACAAACAGGTGTGATCCCAGGGACCTATCATGAATAACAAAGACCAAGAAATTCCAGCTATTTAGAGATCCACTCCCAGGATCCAGGGACAAAGGCCAGGCACACTGATCGGCAAGAGTCCTAAATGCCCCATTTTCAGTGCACCCTTAACCAACTAGAGCCCATCTGTCTGTGGCAGGCTGAGGGCACTGGGGAGATCAGGGCTGCCCAGAGGGGTGCTGGGTAGGTTGGTGGGGTGGGACAGCTAGCAGAACCACTCCTTCAGATCACGCCAAGGGTGTTGTAGGAACGGACGCTGGGCTGGGGTTCAGTGTTGGGAGGATGTTTCTGGGTGACACCGTCAGCGAGGTAATGAATTCTCCATCAGAGAGATAACCAAACATCAACACACAGGATACCCCTGCAGGTCAGATGGCCAGTGGAAGAGGATTTGGTGCCTGTTCTGACAGCAGGCATCTCCTGGGCCTCAGCGCAGGACCCAGCACAGAGCTGGGCTCACAGGGCAGGGACAGGGACTGTAGGAAACCCCGCCCTGCCTTGGACCACAGTCTCAGGAGTTAGTAAAGGCCTCAGACTGCATTTAGACTCCCCACACCACCACTTCCTCTCCCTCTTCTTATGGGGAAACTGAGGCCCAAAAAATGGAATGACATCCTCATAGTCACTTCAGAGTCAAAACTGAGCAGGGCTCCCCAGGCCTGGCCAGAGAGCTTTCAACTGTCTTGTGTTATCTCCTCAAGCCTGGATTTGTGAGGCCTTCTCCCTTCTGTTTGAGCCAGGAAAGGGTTATTATCCCACTTCAGATGAGAATATAGGCCCAGTGGTGGTGGGAGGGATGGGGGAGTGAGTTTTCGACCTAAGCAGCTGGCCATGGGGTCCAACGGGGGAGGGCAGGGACTGAAAGGACAGGGATGCTGGTTGAACTCTGCCCACTGAGGCTGCGGGCACTTTACTCACCTTTCTGATGCCTTGGTCACCTCATCCTGCAGTGGAATGATGGGGATAGTACCCAGCTCCAGGATGCCAGGCGTCTAGAGGGGCTTTGTGGGATGTGTGGACATTAGTGCAAAGTGGGGCCTGGGCCCCTGAGGCCCCTGACTCTAAAACCACAGCTCTCAGGTGTCAGCAGATGCCTCAGACCTTCACTGCACCGCCCAGATCTCGCCACACAGCCCCGACTGCTTCTGCACCATAGGCAGACTCAGTGGGAAGCCCTCCAAAACCACATCTCTGACGCTGGGCAGCGCCAGCCCCTGGCATCCTGGAACCAGCCCCACCCCCTTAACCCCTGTGGCCAGGTTTGGGCCTGCCTCACTACTGATGGGTCCACAGAGCCCCTAGATGTGAGTCAGCAGGATGGCAGCCCTTGGGGCCCCAGGCCTAGACTATCTAGAGCCAGGAAGGCCCATTGCATAGATATGTAGACAGGCTGTACCAGGCAGGCCTGGAGGGGCCTCAGTGACCGCCCCGCTGTGGTATTTTCCAGGCCTGAGCTGCTCACCGAGGGAGTCAAAGAACCCGTCACGGATAGCCAAGGTACCCTGCTCGGGGCCATGGGTGGGCACGGCCAGGCTTGGGGGGGTCTCAGGCCTCAGCCACCACCCTCCTCCCACTTCCTCTGTTCTGGATTCATCCCCCCAACCCACCCCAGCATTCCCCCACTGCCCCATATTGGGTTTGCCCCCAGTGGATACAACTTTGTCCCCGGGGTCCCAGGAGCTGCCTGCTCATCCTGGCTTCTCTCCCCCCGCCCCCAGAGAGGGATTCCGGGGACCCTCTTGTGGACGAGAGCCTGAAGAGACAGGGCTTTCAAGGTAAGGTTACAGCTCAGGGTGAGGTCAGCTGTCCCAGCACCATGACCTTGACCTGGCTTGAGTTTAGAGGGCCAGGCTGGGTGGGAGGGGCTGGCCCCCCAACTTCAGGGCCCAAGAGCTGGGTGAGCTGGACTGGCTGCTGGGGCAGAACTATGACTTCCCAGCTCTGAGTGTGAGGCTCCACAGGGGTGCTGGAGGGTGGGGAGGGAGGGTATAGGCAACTGTCTGGGCAGGTTGCCTGCCCACTCCATATTAGGCGTTCACACCTGCTCCTAATGCTCTGAGAGGAGAAAAGGTAGCCGAGGACGAGGGCTCTGGAGAACAGAGGGATGGAGTGAGTGGAGGAAGAGGAGTGGAATATGGAGAAAAGCTTAATAAAGGCATGTAGTGGGAACAGAAGCAGGAAGGGGCCAGGGCCTGTGGGGGGAAGCTCCTCCCTCCCATCATTTATAGGGGTGTAGTATTCTCTTGAGTGAAGATCAAATGTAACGTGAGTGAGGGGGTGACTGAGAACAGCCTTCGCATGCATGTAGGGGTGGCTCCAATCTGTGACTATGAGTGAGCCCCTGAGGTGGGTGTCTCCCCAGTGGGCCCTGGGTGGTCACTGTGGTTCTGAGGAGAAACCAGTAGACTAGCAGCAGGAAAAGCCAGCCCCCTGAGGGTGAGGGAGCCAGAGGAGCAGCTCCTCACTGCCCAGTCTCCATCACTCTCTCCAGGGCAACCGGAACTTTCTATGATGAGGTAAATTCACCTCTCACCTGGCTTCTCCTACCTAGATTGGTGTCCTTGCCACATGCTCTGCCCAACCACCCAGAGATCCACTCCCCACCCCCACCTCTCTCTACCAACTAGGTTATAATGTCCCTGAGGTAAGGGGGCTGCCATGCATGGCACAACTGGCTCATGGGCCCCTGAATAAAAACCCTCAGGGTGAGCAAATGGCCCTTGGCAACTGCTTGGCTAACTCCAGGACTCTGGGGGGCTGCCCGTTAGCCCAACTCCCTCCATCCCCTCTGCCTTGTGCCCCCCCACTGATGAGCAGAGCCCCTGCTCCCAGCTGCCATGTGCAGAGGTCTGCTCCTCTCCATGGCATCTCCTACCTCCAGGGCTGATTTATTGGTGTGGTGGTTTACAAATGTCAACAATTAACTTAATTTCTGACTCATTGCTGTTGTCGCAACAGAGTGCGTCCTCCTAGAAAAATGCACGTCTCTGTCAAGATGTTAGTTCTGAAGGACTCTGAGGGGCCCACTCCAAGGATCTGATAATTGCCAGAGAAGGAGTTCCCCATAATTAGAAAATCATATTCCTTAAAAGTCACCAAGTGCCTTTTAATTTAGCAGCCCAAATCCATAATTGTTTTTCACTCAGCAGAAAATTACGACACCAGACTCTCACGGATCGACATCGCCAACACGCTGAGGGAGCAGGTCCAGGATCTGTTCAATAAGAAATATGGTGAGCCCCGGGCACCCGGCTGGGGTGGGAAGAGAAACAGGAGCCTCCCCGTTCTCCCAGGTCACCTCTGGGAAAATCACTCACCCACTTACAGTATTTCTTGAGCACTGACTATGTGCCATGCACTGGGGGTACACAGTGAATAAAACACAGTCCCTGTCCTCATGGGCCCCCTTGACCAGTGAGGTGAGACACCCCCAACGACTATGCCCAGAATCTAGTAACAGCCAGGAATTGTGCCATGATTTTGCAAGTATTGAATAGACAGCTTCAGAGAGAATAACTTGGGTACTTACCTTAGACTGCGGGCCAGGGAAGGCCTCTTTGGAGAAAGATGTGAAGGATGGACTTCACCAAGCAGAGTGTGCAAGAAGGGCGTGCCAACTGAAGTAACCGCATATGCAAAGGCCCTGAGGTTTGACCTAGGAAGGGGCACAATGTTGAACCATGGGAATGGGGATAGGGGAGAGAGGCCCCCTCAGCTGGGCTCGTGGTGGCCCTAGCATCCAGGCCTGTGGAGGGAACCATGGTATCAATTTGTATTATGATGTATAATAAAGTGAGCAGTACTGCTTTGCACTTTTGGAGTCTTTTCCTGGCCTCCGTGAAGAAAGGGATGGCTGCAGGAGCCCAGGTGGTTGCTGGGAGACCAGCCGGGAGAGGGTAGACCAGGCAGGAGTGAAGATGGTGTGGGCGGAGCCCTGAGCAGATGCTGGAGGGAAGTGGAGTCAGATGTGCTTCAGAGGGAGAGTGAATGGTGCTGAATTGTCGGGGCTGGGGGGATGAAAGGGGAGGCATCCACTTGAATCCTGGTTTGAGAAAAACAAGCTAGTATCAGTTAAGATACTTTTAGATTTCAAGTACCAAAAACACTCAAACCAGCTTCCACAGTAACGAGGGCTCATTGGCTGGTGAGGCTCGTGATTCAGTTACTATGACTGCAGAGCATATCATCCTAAAATTTAGTGGCCTAAAATAGCAGTGACCCTTCATTACCTCTCCAGTGTCGGTGAGTCAGGAATTTGGGAGCAGCACTGCGGAGTGGCTCTCGGGAGCTCAGGGTCTCTCCCGAGGTTGTGGTCAGAAGGTGGCTGAGGCAGGGTCATCTTGACAACTTCCTCACTCACGTTTCTGACCCCCGGCGTACTTGAACAGCTGGGCCCCTGGGACATCTCTCTTGATTTCTGTGTAATCTCTCCATGTGGGCTTTCCAGCACAGCGACTCCAGGGTAGCTGGATTTCCTACTTATCAGTCTGGGCTTGTGACTGTCCTGAGGTGGGAGCTGTGTTGCCTCTTTGACCCAGCTTCAGAGATTATGCAGTGTCGCCTCTGCCCTCTTTCGTTGGTCCACGGTATCTACAAAGTCCAGGTTCAAGGGGAGGGTCACAGAATCCAGTCCTTCATGAAGGAGTGTTGATGTTACACCGTAAGAGGAGCCTGTGGAGTGGGAGAGAGGCTGGTATAACTGTCTCTGGATTGTGTAGTCTGCCCTAGCTCATAGCACAGGATGTCTGCGTGAAAGGCAGCCTTCAGGAACAGCTGGGCCCAGCAGCTGAGGGATGTCCTTGATATCTTTCTGTGGTGTCAGCATCACCTCAGGCTAGCCTTGACTTGCTGGCAGAATGACTGCAGCAGGTCCAGAACACCCCATCTGCACCCTCTGAAAGGAGGGAGAAGACTAGCCCTTTCACAGGTTTTCTCCAGAGAGCCAGTTCATTTCTTTCCCAGAATTTCCTTCCATTTTTTTCTCATTGGTTCCCACTGAGAACCATTCTTTACACTGTCCCTGTGGCAGGGAAATACTGTTTGCTCATTGGCCTATGTCTGAGCTGTGTGGACCTGTCTTCATGACAGGGGGGATGTGGGGGTGGAGCACATGGGCCACTGGGGACGATTGACTTATCAGGCAGGGAAAGAGGCAGCACCGTCACCAAAGGGGGTGCCATGATGATGAGTGCCATGGTCATGCTGAGTTTGGGGGCTGGGGTGGAGACCACCCTGAGGCAAGCAAAGATGCAAGTCCATTATTGAGGAGAGGTATCTGGGTCAGATGTAAACATTACGTCATGATAGCGGAGGAGACACCCCTCGGTTGTAAGAGAACCCAGACCAAACACCAAGGAGCTCCAGTTTCAAGGTCAGGTCAAGGAGAGGGACAATGGCCAGAAAAATGAGAAGCCAAGAAAATGTAGCATCACAGACACCAAGGCAAGGACTTCAGGGAGGGGAGAGTGGCCATCTGTGTCAGAATTTGCCAAAAGATTGCAAGTATCTGCTGGCTTTGGTGACTTGGAGACCACCAGTCATGGTATAAAGAGCCACTTTGAAGGCCAGAAGTGAAGAGTAGAGATGGCAGGGTCCCCATGGACAGATGATGATGATTTCTTTCCATTTCAAAAAGGATTTCTTTAATCACATAGAAACTAGTCAACAACAATCTCAGGATAAAAAATTAAAAACAGGCCAAAATTCCATAGAGATTAGATTAGATTAGTGGTTGCTAGAGCATGGAGGAAAGCTGAGGGTGATGACTGATGGTTATAGGGCTTGTTTGATGTAATTAAAACAATAATTTCATATACTGGTTAATATAGTAAAGTCACTGAATTATGCACTTCAAAATGGTAAATTTTATGGTATGTGAATATAGCACCAACAAAACAAGCAGGCTAGAGCAGATGGCATAAAGTCAGGGTGACATGAAGATTCAGAAGGTCTGTACTTGCTAGATGTGGGCACAAATCAGATTCTGAGTTTCCTGGGAGCAAGAGCAAAAAGGGCAATGAAGCCAGTTATACATTTCCTTTGTCTGTGAGATAAAAATTAGTTTATTACATAGAAGTTCAAGGGTTCCTTCTAGTGCTGCGACATGTGGAAATTGCTGCAGTGTGTTTCACAATGGGCATCCTGTGACACTGGGGATAGTGCTCTCAGCAGTACCTGGGGAATCACAGTCAGCTCCAGCCAGCTGTCAGGATGAGGGAGCCTGAGACAGGTAAAGCAACCTCATGGCATCCAGGGCTGCAGAGCCTGGCCCTGCCAGCAGGCAGCAGGCTTCAGCTGACAGTGGTCAACAGTAGCCACCCTCCCTAGGCCTGTCCCTGGCTGGCTGTGAAATATACAGTCTCTGAGGTGGAGGAGCCCAGCATTCCCCAGAGGTGACAGGAAAGAGGACAAGGCCTAGATTCAGAAGAGAACCTGGAGGTTAACCCTGGCTTTCTTGCTCCCAAATGCAGTCTGCCCTCTTAAACCGGGCTGGTCCAGTGAGATGTGCTCACGGGGCACTTTTTTGGTGATGGACTTTCAGATTCTCAGGCAGTGAGGCCACTGCCTTCTCCCTTGGAGTGCTAACCACACATCTGGACACACGCTCACATACCTAACCCCCCAGAGCCCTGCACAACACACCCCAACTCCTAGGCCCCCACAGGTTGTATCTTTCCACAGGTCTTCACAACAGCCTCTCGTCCCCCATGTACACATCTTTCTATCATACTCCTGCATAGACACCCCACAACCCCCATGTCTACACACTGCTATGGCTCTTAATGGCACCTCCTTGTCCCTCTTGTTCCATAGGGGAAGCCTTGGGCATCAAGTACCCAGTCCAGGTCCCCTACAAGCGAATCAAGAGCAATCCTGGCTCAGTGATCATCGAGGGACTGCCCCCAGGAATCCCGTTCCGAAAACCATGCACCTTTGGCTCCCAGAACTTGGAGAGGATCCTCGCGGTGGCTGACAAGATCAAGTTCACGGTCACCAGGTACCCAAGGGAAGGGTGAGGAGGCAAGACTAGCAGGAGTAGGGGCTGCTTCCACCTACTGCCTTTCCTTCTCTCTGGTCTTAGTCCTGCCCTCTGCTGATCAAGGTGCCCTCCCACTGTCATCCTGGGTCCTGAGGGGCAGAGGAAGGGAACTGCAGGTTTGTTGGGGTGTAGGGGGCTCCACACATGTGAAACCTCAACCACCATAGTGGGGGCAGCCTTTGTGGCACCTTTTCCTACCCACAGTGCCTGCCCACTGTACTTCTGGCTGCTAGGAGAGGCCTTTGGTCACTTCAGAGGGGGGGAAAGCTGGACAAGTGATTTGCAGAGGTCGCAGAACCAGCAGGAAACCCTGATCACCCGCCTGCCATGTCGTCACAGTGTCCCCCCCGGCCCCATGCACGCATATCAGCAGCATCTTACACTTGGCCTGGGGTGGGCCCCAAATATTTCTGACACTCCCATCTCTGTTTTTCTTCCAGGCCTTTTCAAGGACTCATCCCAAAGCCTGGTAAGAGGCACTGGCTGTTGGGGGCCAGGGGAGACCCCACATGGTGGGGTGGGGGTGCAGTTAGTCACAGAGCTGGGTACCAGAGTCCAAACTGATTGTGGGTCACAGGTGCTGGGGTTCAGGCTCCTGCCCCTCTATTCTCCCTCCTCCATAGGCAGCAGACCCAGATGGAAGGAGACTAGGCTGGAACCTTCCCACTGGCGCAGAGAAGGGTGGGAGTGGGGGTACGAGAAGACTTCCTCCAACCAGGTTCTGGAGGAAGGGGCCAGGCTGGTCAGTGACCTTTTCTCCAGATGGGGGTTTTGGTTGGCCTTGGTTGTCCCCAGGTGGTTGAGAGCAGGTGGGTTCCTAACCTCAGAGGGAGGGCTGCCCCCATGCAGACCCTTGAGCTTGGTGGTTAAGATGAGTGTCTGCCCCGGATTTTGGAGACAAAACCCTCTCCTTTCAAGGTGTCCATTGCTCTGTATTCGCTGTGGGCTGCATCCTTGACCTTCCTAAGCCCTGAGTGAGCAGACACCTCAGGAAGCAGAGGTGGCCACAGAATAACCACCTGGTGGGCACTTCAGGCTGAGCAGGGTTTCCAGGTCATACGCGGACCCCAGAACCTGTGTATGAAGAGATGGCAGACCCCCACTGTCAGCCCTGTCCCTTGGGGAGGCTGTGCTGAGATGCTGGGAGCTGGCACATGGTCTGAGCACCTGGACAGAGGAGGCCTGCAGTCCAGGACTCTAGTCTCACCTTCATGAAAACACTGGTGCACCCTGACCCCCAGAACTGTTCACCCCTGTGCCAGGCCTGGCTGGGTGGGCTTCTGGGAATGAGATGAGAGGCCATCGAACTGGAGGGGGGTGGGCCCTCCTAGGACAGTGTGACATGGTGGCTCCTAGTGAACTGTGGGGGTTCCCAGGAGGGGAAGCAGGAACAAGAGCTGGGTGGCTGATAGGGCTTCCTGAAGAGGAAGGCTCCAGAAGAGCCTGGGGAAGGCAGGTCTTGGAGAGCCAGGGAGGAGAGGGGAGGGGGGAGGTGGTAAGCAGCAGGGGCCCACGGCCCATTCAAAATGTATTTTTCCTGAGTTCTCAGAGGCCGAAATGCTCACTCGAAATGCTCACTCGCATTGTTAATAAGGCGGAAATGGCAGAGGAGCTTGCCCAGCTCGCCTCTCCTGGCCCCTGGGAACCAGGACAGGCCTTTCTGCTGCCACTGTCCCCTGGCCCACCCCCACTCTGAGAGGCTGCTGGGCCCTGGCTCCAGGACCATGGGGCCCACCTGCCTCACTGAGTGCCACTGAGTCAGCTCCAACCCTGCCTGCCCCACGCCCCGGGGTCTTCTGCCACAGTTGGTGTCAGTCCTGGGCAGTGCTGGTCCGGTTCCCAGGAACAGTGACAGGAAGAACAGCCTGGGCTTCCCTCTGCCTGTAGAGACAAGTGCAATGTGGCAGCCCCTGAGGACCCAGCCCCTCCTTGCCAGTGGGGAGGGTCCACGTTTAGGCTGCAGGGACCGGCATGTTTTCAGATGAGTCTGGACAGCAGAGATCTGTGACCCCTGACATGCGCCAGGCTATAGATTCAGTACTTTGCACTGTCACCTTTGTTATGTCTCCTTCTTGCAAGCAAAACTGTGGCAGAGGGAACCCCGGTGACTTACCTGGGTGCCTCACCTGACTTGAAGGAACCGTTGGCAATGTAGCCTCTCTCCCTGACTTTCATCAGGGAGAACCATGCACCAGCAGAATGTTGGGCTTTGGGAAGACACCCTGGGTGAGGCTCATGCTGCAACCAGGGGAGCACACAGCCCCTCTTGCTGGCTAGCTGCTTCTTGAATCTCAGCCTGGGCAGCCTGCCCCAAGGTCTCTGTGCTGATCTGCCTGCCTGCCATCCACCTCCCCTTTGGCTCCTGTGAGTGCAGAGAGCCCTTGGAGATGCTTTCTCTGCCCACATGGCATGGGAGAGGATGGCAGACTGCCTGGAGGAGGAGATGGAAAGTGGCCCTGGCCCAGCCTGCAGGGTGGAATTGCCAGCACCTTTCCAGGCATTGGCACCCGGGCCAGGTGTCAGCCGGACAGGCAGCAGCCGGGCCAACTCCACGCTGATGCATGCCACTTGTCACACTGTGCTGGGAAGGGGTCCAGGCTCATCAGGGTCATTGAGTGCTGCTTCTGCCCTTCCCAAACTCCCCATCAGACAATCACTGAAGCCTGTTACACTGAAGCTCCTGGGGTCTCAGGGTGAATGGGCACAGGAGCCTAGTCTGTGGGGAACATAGACCATTGGCAGGTGCCCCAGGCATGTGGAGGGTGGCAGATAATTTGTTTTGGGATTTTGGATCTGAGGCATTGTGTGGGCTGTGGCAAGGCACAGGGCTCAGACAGACACTGGTTCATATCCCAGCACCCTTACTACCATGCAATTCTGGGTTCATTATTCCCCATCCCCAAGCCTCCACTTCCTCATCTGTAAGATGGAGATAGGCACACCTGCCCCAGGTGACCGGAAGGAGATAAATGGTGAGCAGGGGTGGGCAAGCTGTGGAGCAGTGGTTTTCAGCCAGTGAAGATGGTGCTTGTTATTATTTTTCCTGGGATGCAGGAACACTTCCTGGAGGAGGTGACATTGAGTTGAGTCTTGGGGGGTGAGCGGAACACCGTGTGGCGCTGACACAGGACCAAGCCTAAGCCAGGGCACAGAGGGTGTCGGGGATGTGGCAGGACAGCGGCTAGGAATGGCGTGGGTGTGTCTAGGGGGGGTTAGGCTGGAAGGGCATGGCCTGGCATGCCACAGAGCCAAGGCTTCTCCTGGCTACAATAGGAATCTTCAGAGACTTTTCCTTTTTTCTTTCATCCTCCTCCAAAAATATGGAATTAACCTTCATCTTCAACCTTAGAAGTATAAGATATGTAAACTCTATTATTCTGAACTTGGACTAGATCCCTAGCAGAACCCCCCATTACATAGTGGAAGAAACCTAAATTGAGCGCGTCTAAGATCTCCCTTTTTTTCTGTGTGCTGGTGTCCAAGTTCCAGAAGGATTCATAGTGCCAACAAGTTAGGGCAAGAGGCCCATTAACTCTTGAATGACATGTGTCCACATGACTACCCACAAGACATCTATGGACATCCTCCACTGAGGTGTTTGGAGAGGTGCCCCTTGTCCTGACCTGTTGAGAGCCTTCCAGGACCTGGAACCTTCCATAAATCCCACCCCTTTAGCCAATTTGACACTATAGAGGGTCTGAGTATGAGCAAACCCATGCTTGGGGTAGGCCAGGTCAGTGGGATTGCGGTGCAAAGGTGACAGCATTGGAAGGGATGGTTCTGCTCAGGGGTAAGAACTGGGAAGGTCGGTCATTTATGGAAGGATCCTGCAGAAGCATTTCCTAACTGAACCATCCTGAGAAGGTGAATTCTAAAGAAGGAAAGTATGCTTTAAAGATAAATTGGTTATTAAATTTGGGCCTTGCACAGCACAACCTGGAACTGTGGGTCAGCCTGAAGGGGCAGGAAGGGTATGGATACAGCCATTCCTGGGTCAATTTTGTTCTGGGAAAAGAGAAAACCCCATAATGCCTTTAGTGGTATCCCAACACTAAAGCCTTTACAAGCTCCCTCGTTGCCTCAATTTTGCTACCCGTGTCTAGTAGCCTTATCTGCTCATGTGGAATGGTGGGCAGGTGCTAGAGAGGAAGATGGAGTTGGACTGAGCCTCAGGGGGTGCTGGGAGGGACTTTGGAACTCAGGTCAGGGTTGTGGGCCAGGGATTTCACAGGATCCCTGGGCAGTGGAGATGCTGGCTAGAGGGACTTTGCAGGGGAGGCTGCAGAGGGATGATGGGACCAGGCTGACCTCTTATACTAGAGTGGACTGCATCCCTGCCTTCAAGGGCCTGAGGTATCCCAACCTGACCCCAGGGGTCAGAGCCAGTGAAGTCAGGGAGAGGGGTACATCATTGGTAGCTCCCTGATATCTACCTAGGTTGCTCGCCACCTCACCCACCCTTCTTCAACAGCATCCATTTAAAGGTGGGACCTAGGCCAGGAGCAGAGAGGCAGGTGTCTGCACAGCGCCAAGAGAACTTGCCCTCGACCCCAGCTCTCAGAAACACATGTGCTCTAGGGCCCCCAGGCCACTCGGGCACCTGGCCAGCAGTACGCAGAGCACAAAGGGATGTTTGCTACCAAAAAGGACTCTGGGTGGGCCTGACATCCCCCTCTGTGCTCTCGGCAGTGGCAGTGCTGAGTCAAGGCACATCTCTTCTCAAAATGCAGTGGAGCCCGAGGCTACAAAAACCCCAGACAGCAAAGGAGGTTGCTCTTCAGGCACATGGGTAAGAGACAGTGGTGACCAAGGAAGGAGAGAGGCCCCCTGCCTAGGTACCTGGTGTTAGAACAGCCACAGAACATTCTAGTAGGTTTCAAAAATCTGAAGGGAAATGCAAATATATGCCCATGGTAGAAATTTGGAAACAGCAGAACTCCTAACTGCCCAGATGGCTGTTCATTTTTATGATGATACGTTTCTCCCAGATTTACCCCCAAGCTTATTAATTTTACATTCACTGTTGTTCTTACCATAGAACTATACATACATTTTAAACATAAGTATTTTCCTATGTCTTTAAGGCACTTTATAATGTTCCCTTATCCGGATGCATCATATTTATCAACCCCATCCCCCCTTGGGCAGCTCCTGTCACAGACACTAACTATGCTTCTGACTTGCTAGCTGCAAAGCCTTCCCTATCAGTACACTATTCTCTCAATAACCAGTCTTACAGAAGGAAACTGAGGCTCAGAGAGGTTTAGGAACTTGCTGAAAGTCACACAGCATGTGCAGCATGATGAGTTTGAAGCCAGGGCTTGCTGTACCACTACCTTCCCTCTGGTGAGTTGCATCCATACCCTCTTCCCCTAGCAGCTGCCCCACCGGGCTTTCATTCACACTGACTGGCTCTTTGCTGCCCCCTTCTGGCTATCAGCAGCTATAACGTCATCCCTGCCTAGATAA